GAGTCCTCTCCTGCTGATGTTCCAGGTGTAATCAGTATGTAGTGTCTCTACTTTAAAGAGTCCTCTCCTGCTGATGTTCAGTGTTATATCAGTATGTAGTGTCTCTACTTTAAAGAGTCCTCTCCTGCTGATGTTCAGGTGTATATCAGTATGTAGTGTCTCTACTTTAAAGAGTCCTCTCCTGCTGATGTTCAGGTGTATATCAGTATGTAGTGTCTCTACTTTAAAGAGTCCTCTCCTGCTGATGTTCAGGTGTATATCATATGTAGTGTCTCTACTTTAAAGAGTCCTCTCCTGCTGATGTTCAGGTGTATATCAGTATGTAGTGTCTCTACTTTAAAGAGTCCTCTCCTGCTGATGTTCAGGTTGTATATCAGTATGTAGTGTCTCTACTTTAAAGAGTCCTCTCCTGCTGATGTTCAGGTGTATATCAGTATGTAGTGTCTCTACTTTAAAGAGTCCTCTCCTGCTGATGTTCCAGGTGTATATCAGTATGTAGTGTCTCTACTTTAAAGAGTCCTCTCTGCTGATGTTCAGGTGTATATCAGTATGTAGTGTCTCTACTTTAAAGAGTCCTCTCCTGCTGATGTTCAGGTTGTATATCAGTATGTAGTGTCTCTACTTTAAAGAGTCCTCTCCTGCTGATGTTCAGGTGTATATCAGTATGTAGTGTCTCTACTTTAAAGAGTCTCCTCCTGTACTGATGAGACCCCCTCAGGTGTATATCAGTATGTATGTTCTCTACTTTAAAGGAGTCCTCTCCTGCTGATGTTCAGGGTGTATATCAGTATGTAGTGTCTCTACTTTTAAAGAGTCCTCTCCTGCTGATGTTCAGGTGTATATCAGTATGTAGTGTCCTCTACTTTAAAGAGTCCTCTCCTGCTGATGTTCAGGTGTATATCAGTATGTAGTGTCTCTACTTTAAAGAGTCCTCTCCTGCTGATGTTCAGGTGTATATCAGTATGTAGTGTCTCTACTTTAAAGAGTCCTCTCCTGCTGATGTTCAGGTGAATATCAGTATGTAGTGTCTCTACTTTAAAGAGTCCTCTCCTGCTGATGTTCAAGGTGTAGATCAGTATGTAGTGTCTCTACTTTAAGAGTCCTCTCCGGCTGATGCTTCAGGGGTGTATATCAGTATGTATTGTCTCTACTTTAAAGAGTCCTCTCCTGCTGATGTTCAGGTTGTATATCAGTATGTAGTGTCTCTACTTTAAAGAGTCCTCTCCTGCTGATGCTCAGGTGTATATCAGTATGTAGTGTCTCTACTTTAAAGAGTCCTCTCCTCTGATGTTCAGGTGTATATCAGTATGTAGTGTCTCTACTTTAAAGAGTCCTCTCCTGCTGATGCTCAGGTGTATATCAGTATGTAGTGTCTCTACTTTAAAGAGTCTCCTGCTGATGATGTTCAGGTGTATATCAGTATGTAGTGTCTCTACTTTAAAGAGTCCTCTCCTGCTGATGTTCAGTTGTATATCAGTATGTAGTGTCTCTACTTTAAAGAGTCCTCTCCTGCTGATGTTCAGGTGTATATCAGTATGTAGTGTCTCTACTTTAAAGAGTCCTCTCCTGCTGATGTTCAGGTGTATATCAGTTGTAGTGTCTCTACTTTAAAGAGTCCTCTCCTGCTGATGTTCAGGTGTATATCAGTATGTAGTGTCTCTACTTTAAAGAGTCCTCTCCTGCTGATGCTCAGGTGTATATCAGTATGTAGTGTCTCTACTTTAAAGAGTCCTCTCCTGCTGATGTCAGGTGTATATCAGTATGTAGTGTCTCTACTTTAAAGAGTCTCTCCTGCTGATGTTCAGTGTATATCAGTAGTAGTGGCTCTACTTTAAAGAGTCCCTCTCTGCTGATGTTAGGTGATATCAGTATGTATGTCTCTACTTAAAGAGTCCTCTCCTGCTGATGTTCAGGTGTATATCAGTATGTAGTGTCTCTACTTTAAAGAGTCCTCTCCTGCTGATGTTCAGGTGTATATCAGTATGTAGTGTCTCTACTTTAAAGAGTCCTCTCCTGCTGATGTTCAGGTGTATATCAGTATGTAGTGTCTCTACTTTAAAGAGTCCTCTCCTGCTGATGTTCAGGTGTATATCAGTATGTAGTGTCTCTACTTTAAAGAGTCCTCTCCTGCTGATGTTTCAGGTGTATATTCAGTAGTAGTGTCTCTACTTTAAGAGTCCTCTCCTGCTGATGTTCAGGTGTATATCAGTATGTAGTGTCTCTACTTTAAAGAGTCCTCTCCTGCTGATGTTCAGGTGTATATCAGTATGTAGTGTCTCTACTTTAAAGAGTCCTCTCCTGCTGATGTTCAGTTGTATATCAGTATGTAGTGTCTCTACTTTAAAGAGTCCTCTCCTGCTGATTCTCAGGTGTATATCAGTATGTAGTGTCTCTACTTTAAAGAGTCTTCCTGCTGATGTCAGGTGTATATCAGTATGTAGTGTCTCTACTTTAAAGAGTCCTCTCCTGCTGATGTTCAGGTGTATATCAGTATGTAGTGTCTCTACTTTAAAGAGTCCTCTCTGCTGATTCAGGTGTATATCAGTATGTAGTGTCTCTACTTTAAAGAGTCCTCTCCTGCTGATGTTCAGGTGTATATCAGTATGTAGGTCTCTACTTTAAAGAGTCCTCTCCTGCTGATGTCAGGTGTATATCAGTATGTAGTGTCTCTACTTTAAAGAGTCCTCTCCTGCTGATGTTCAGGTGTATATCAGTATGTAGTGTCTCTACTTTAAAGAGTCCTCTCTGCTGATGTTCAGGTGTATATCAGTATGTAGTGTCTCTACTTTAAAGAGTCCTCTCCTGCTGATGTTCAGGTGTATATCAGTATGTAGTGTCTCTACTTTAAAGAGTCCTCTCCTGCTGATGTTCAGGTGTATATCAGTATGTAGTGTCTCTACTTTAAAGAGTCCTCTCCTGTTGATGTTCAGGTGTATATCAGTATGTAGTGTCTCTACTTTAAAGAGTCCTCTCCAGCTGATGTTCAGGTGTATATCAGTATGTAGTGTCTCTACTTTAAAGAGTCCTCTCCTGTTGATGTTCAGGTGTATATCAGTATGTAGTGTCTCTACTTTAAAGAGTCCTCTCCTGCTGATGTTCAGGTGTATATCAGTATGTAGTGTCTCTACTTTAAAGAGTCCTCTCCAGAGTGTAAAGTGAGCAGCTCTCTCTGTAATCCAGTTTCAGGGTTAAACACAGATTAAATCAGATTAGAGTCACAGCTGAGTTTAAAGAAGAATACGAGTTATAATGAAGCATGGACTGAGAGGAGTTTACAGTTCCTGCTCTGCAGCACCACCATACAAGGAGAGAGAGAGAGTGTGTGTGTGTGTGTGTGTGTGTGTTCACCTGCACCTCTATGTAGCTTGAAACAGTCATATTCCTATTTTTAGAGATTCCTGTAACTCCTGTGTTAAAGTTCAGTCAGAGTACAAATACTGCAGATTACAGGAGAACCTTCACACACACACACACACACACACACACACACACACACACACACACACACACACACACACACACACACACACACACACACACCACACACACACACAACACACACACACACACACACCACACACACACACACACACACCACACACACACACACACACACACCACACACACACACACACACACACACACACACACACACACACACACACACACACACACACACACACACACACACACACACACACACACACACACACACACACACACACACACACACACACACACACACACACACACACACACAGAGATCGTATTTCAGGATAATAACATCACCCCGCCACAATAAAAGCTCAGAGTGCTTCAATAATGCAGACAGGAAGTGGGGGGGGGGGGGGATAAATTAATGCTTAAATCAATGAATGAGCAGAATATTGTCATCTCTCTGTAGTCTGTTAGCTTAGCTTAGCATAAAGACTGGAGACAAAGGGAAACTGGTATATATTTAGTATATAAACTAAAATACTGACAAAATGTGGGAAAACGTCTTAAAGGTCCCGTGACACGACTCACGGACATTTCCACTGATCATAGTTCCATAGTAGAGCTCTACTAGAACAGATGTACATTGTTCAATGTTCCAAACTCACATTGGTTTCTCATCCAGCATCTCTGTATAGTCTGTGTATTCACTCTCTGTCCTACACGGCTTGTTGGAGCTCCTGCCCCCCCCCCCCCCTCCCTGTGAGCCCACTGTGCTCTGATTGGTCAGCTCGCCCACTCTGTTCTGATGAGTCCACCACCGTTACAGCTGAACATCAGTGATTATGTTTTACAATGGCGTTTGTTAGCAACCAGGAAATGACCCCAGTAATGACAAACAGATGAGAATGCTGCGTGGGGTCTGGGTGCCGTGTTGGGGGGACGTTGGGGGGCTCGCTGCTCCGCCCTGTGAGGCTCGAGGAGCGGACAGTGAGAGCTGGATTACTGGGGTCGTTTCCTGGTTGCTGCGTGGGGTCAGCGAGACACCGCGAGACCCAGCCTGAGCACCATGGACGCGGGAAGGGGGGGTGCTGAGGGGGCTGCAGCACCCCCATCTGCGAGGTTCCACACATGACCTATTTGAGCTTTTAATCAGCGACATCAACCTTCTATCTGTCTACATTTTTATTTGTATTATTAATATTATTGATCTGGTCTTTCTTACTTTAACCGAGTCTGTTCTGAACCTGTTTTATTTCTCTTATAAAAACTGATGCAGACAGCGATGACATCATCTCACACACATCAATCAATTCTTCCAGAGAGTAACCCAGATTATGCATTTATTAACATTTCTGGTAGATTTGAACGTGGCCCGGCTCAGAATGACCCCCTGCTGTTTCAGGAGGAAGTATATATCTATATATGAGAGTAAAATGAGGGGGGGTGTTACCTGGGAAGGCGTGGGGGGTCGGGGCCCCTCTCTTCAGGCACTTGGAGCACAGGATGTGGACAGAGGTCAGCAGTCCGGGCCACTCCCTCAGCAGCGCGTTCAGATCCTCCATCAGGGGGCTCAGCGCCTGCCAGGCCGTCCAGATGTTGGGCAGCGAGGCGTGGGAGGCGAGGCTCAGAGACCCCCCCCTCTGATCAGGGGACCCCGCCCTCAGACCAGAGCGCCCCCCCCTCAGATCCGCCCCCCCCCCCCCCGCTGCCGGGTCACCAGCACTGGGACCTTCCCTCGGTACGCCTCCACCCGGTCCCTCCCGTCAGAGCGCTGCACCACGTGGCCGTTAATCTGAACGGAGAAACGCTCAAACAGACCGGGGGGGAACAGGAAGTGGAAACGGTACTGGATGTGGAGCTGTTCTACAGAGAGGGGGGGCAGCGAGGGGCCCCCCTGTGGAGCATCAACTCTCACATAGCTGGGGAACTGGTACCAGACCGGGCCCCCATTCAGAGTCTGGGTCTGGGTCTGGGTCTGGGTCTGGGTCTGAGTCTGGGTCTGAGTCTGGGTCTGAGTCTGGGTCCCGTTTAGAGTCCTGTTCTGGGTCCTGTTGAGGCAGAAACAGACCCCCATCTTCTGCAGCAGCTCCATCACCAGCACCAGGTCCTGCTGGGTCTGGATCAGGGGCCCCAGGAGGGTCTGGATGAGGGGGGAGGAGAGCAGGCCGTCCTGCAGGAACACCTCCAGCTGCTGTTCCTTCATCAGGATCTCCCCCCCCCTCTCCTCCATCACCTGACCTCCTCCACCCTCAGACAGCAGGCGCTGCAGAAGCTCCTCCCTCTGAAACACAACATGTATAGATCACATGTCAACAGGAGAATACAGAAGAGAACGGAGAGAGAACATAAAGACATGAATGATGGTGCGTTCACACCGGACACCGTGTGTGAACGCACCGAATACCGTGTGTGAACGCACCCACCGGACACCGTGTGTGAACGCACCCACCGGACACCGTGTGTGAACGCACCCACCGGACACCGTGTGTGAACGCACCGAATACCGTGTGTGAACGCACCGGACACCGTGTGTGAACGCACCGGACACCGTGTGTGAACGCACCGGACACCGTGTGTGAACGCACCCACCGGACACCGTGTGTGAACGCACCCACCGGACACCGTGTGTGAACGCACCGAATACCGTGTGTGAACGCACGCACCGGACACCGTGTGTGAACGCACCCACCGGACACCGTGTGTGAACGCACCCACCGGACACCGTGTGTGAACGCACCCACCGGACACCGTGTGTGAACGCACCCACCGGACACCGTGTGTGAACGCACCGAATACCGTGTGTGAACGCACCCACCGGATACCGTGTGTGAACGCACCCACCGGACACCGTGTGTGAACGCACCGAATACCGTGTGTGAACGCACCGGACACCGTGTGTGAACGCACCGGACACCGTGTGTGAACGCACCGAATACCGTGTGTGAACGCACCCACCGGACACCGTGTGTGAACGCACGCACCGGACACCGTGTGTGAACGCACCGAATACCGTGTGTGAACGCACCCACCGGACACCGTGTGTGAACGCACCGAATACCGTGTGTGAACGCACCCACCGGATACCATGTGTGAACGCACCGGACACCGTGTGTGAACGCACCCACCGGACACCGTGTGTGAACGCACCGGACACCGTGTGTGAACGCACCGGACACCATGTGTGAACGCACCGGACACCGTGTGTGAACGCCCCCACCGGACACCGTGTGTGAACGCACCGGACACCGTGTGTGAACGCACCCACCGGACACCGTGTGTGAACGCTCCGAATACCGTGTGTGAACGCACCGGACACCGTGTGTGAACGCACCGGACACCGTGTGTGAACGCACCGAATACCGTGTGTGAACGCACCGGACACCGTGTGTGAACGCACCCACCGGACACCGTGTGTGAACGCACCCACCGGACACCGTGTGTGAACGCACCGAATACCGTGTGTGAACGCACCGGACACCGTGTGTGAACGCACCGGACACCGTGTGTGAACGCACCCACCGGACACCGTGTGTGAACGCACCGAATACCGTGTGTGAACGCACCGGACACCGTGTGTGAACGCACCCACCGGACACCGTGTGTGAACGCATCGAATACCGTGTGTGAACGCACGCACCGGACACCGTGTGTGAACGCACCATGTGTGAACGCACCGGACACCGTGTGTGAACGCACCATGTGTGAACGCACGCACCGGACACCATGTGTGAACGCACCATCACAGTTTCAGTGAGATTTGATTGAAACCCACCTGCAGGTTTCTGGGCGTCTTCGGTTCCAGGACCATGAAGAACCGGTTCAGGATCTGGAAGAACCGCGGCAGGTTGTGGAAGACGTAGTCCTTCAGGGGGGGGCAGTCATCGAAGTGGAGCAGCTTCCCTGATTCGTGCAGGTAAGAGAGGGCGCTCTGCAGCCGGTCCTCCGTCAGGCCCGCCTGCAGACCCAGCCGGGCAGAGTCCCACCAGGACAGCCACAGCTGGGGGGCCTTCAGGTGCAGATCCTCCAGAACCTGCCAGGACCGAGGAAGAACCTGATGAAGGTTGGGGAAGATCTGGCGCTGCTCGGCAACCTGCAGGAGCTTCTCTCTGAGCCTCTGGTTCCTGTGGACCCCCGTCCTCAGCAGGGGTGACAGGACCTGCAGACGGTGGTTCAGAATGTACTGCAAATGGGACTTCCTGCGCCTCAAGTTCTGGTCCGAGACCCCGTAGAAGACCACGTGAGGGCTGGAGGACCGGACACTGAAGCCCTGCTGCATGGCCCGGTCCACCTGCAGGACTTCAGCCTTCAGCACCTGCAGGTCCTGGAGCTCCTGGAGGCCAATCTGCAGATGGACGTCCAGACTCTTCTCCTCCAGATCCTCCTCGGTGCACAGGTCCGAGTGGGTCCCGACCACCAGGACCACCGCGTGGGGGACTTTGGCCCCGAGGAGGTGCAGGAAGTACCCCACCTGGGAGTAAAAGGTCCTCGGGGTGTAGGTTCTGAGGTTCACCACAAGGAGGTACAGGGCCCCCGGGGACAGGAGGAAGGGTTTGATGAGGTCCTGGTCCCCCGACAGATCGTAGACCAGGAAGGTGAGGCCACGGTCCGCCACCCAGTCCGTCACCTCGATGCCCCCGTCCCCCTGCAGGTCCTGGACCTCCTGCTGAGGGCCCATCACGCTCCTCCTGAGCCGGCTCTTCCCAGAGTTCTTGGTCCCCATCAGGACCAGTTTCAGGCGCGGCTTCACGGCCAGCTGAGAGTCCGCCAGCTCCTTCTGGTAGGCCGCGATGTAGGGGATCCCCTTCATGCAGACCTCGTAGGGGGGCTGGATCAGAGGGTTGTCCTTCACCTTCCAGATGTTGACCCTGGACAGCTTCCCGAAGTTCTCCGGCAGGATAGCGATCTGGTTCCCCTGGATGACCAGTTCCTCGAGGCGCTCCAGGTCCACGATGGAGTCGGGCAGGAAGGTGATGCAGTTGTTGTCCAGCCACAGGTTGTTGAGCCTCCGCAGACCCCCCAGCTCCTCTGGGATCTGGATCAGTCTGTTCCGGCTCAGGTAGACCTCCTCCAGCCCAGAGAGGCTCAGGATCACCTCGGGGAAGTCCTGGAACTGATTGGAGGACAGGTTCAGCATCCTGAGTGTTTGCATCCTGCTGAAGTCCTGCGGCAGGGCGGAGATCTGGTTCCCGTCCAGCATCAGGCTCTCCAGATGCTCCAGGAGACAGAAGGAGTCCGGCAGCTGGACCAGGTTCAGGCTGCTGAGCCACAGGATCTTGATGCTCCGCAGCTTCAGGATGTCCGAGGGCAGGGTCTTGAACCGGTTCCCAGAGAGGTCCAGCTCCTCCAGGTCGCCCAGGGCCAGGATCTGAGGGGGGAACTGGGGCAGCTTGTTGTGGTCCGCGTCCAGAGTCCTGAGCCTGGAGAGCCTGATGAGGGTCTGAGGGAGGACCTGCAGGGAGTTAAAGCTCAGATCCAGCTCCTCCAGGACCTGGGGGGACACGTCCAGACCAGAGAGGGTTACTCTGACGCAGTATTTACATGTACTCTGATGAAGTATTTAGATGTACTCTGATGCAGTGATGTAGTATATAGATGTATTCTAGGTGTACTCTATGTGTACTCTATGTGTACTCTATGTGTACTCTATGTGTACTCTATGTGTACTCTAGGTGTATTATATGTGTACTCTATGTGTACTCTATGTGTATTCTATGTGTACACTATGTGTACTCTATGTGTACTCTATGTGTATTCTAGGTGTACTCTAGTTGCATTCTATGTGTACTCTACGTGTACTCTACGTGTACTCTGCGTGTACTCTACGTGTACTCTGCGTGTACTCTGCGTGTACTCTACGTGTACTCTGCGTGTACTCTGCGTGTACTCTGCGTGTACTCTACGTGTACTCTAGGTGTACTCTAGGTGTACTCTACGTGTACTCTACGTGTACTCTAGGTGTACTCTAGGTGTATTCTATGTGTACTCTATGTGTACTCTATGTGTACTCTAGGTGTACTCTAGGTGTACTCTAGGTGTACTCTAGGTGTACTCTGTGTACTCTGTGTACTCTGTGTACTCTGTGTACTCTGTGTGTACTCTATGTGTACTCTGTGTACTCTATGTGTGCTCTATGTGTGCTCTAGGTGTATTCTATGTGTACTCTAGGTGTACTCTAGGTGTACTCTATGTGTACTCTATGTGTACTCTGTGTACTCTGTGTACTCTGTGTGTACTCTGTGTGTACTCTGTGTGTACTCTGTGTGTTCTCTGTGTGTACTCTGTGTACTCTATGTGTACTCTATGTGTATTCTATGTGCACTCTAGGTGCACTCTAGGTGTACTCGGTGTGTACTCTATGTGTACTCTATGTGTACTCGGTGTGTGCTCTATGTGTACTCTATGTGTACTCTAGGTGTACTCTAGGTGTACTCTAGGTGTACTCTAGGTGTACTCTGTGTACTCTGTGTACTCTGTGTGTACTCTGTGTGTACTCTGTGTACTCTGTGTACTCTGTGTACTCTGTGTGTACTCTATGTGTACTCTATGTGTACTCTATGTGTGCTCTAGGTGTATTCTATGTGTACTCTATGTGTACTCTAGGTGTACTCTATGTGTACTCTGTGTACTCTATGTGTACTCTATGTATACTCTGTGTACTCTGTGTACTCTATGTGTACTCTATGTGTACTCTGTGTACTCTGTGTACTCTAGTATGTAGGTGTTGTCTACCTGCAGCGCTCCGATCTCATTGGGCAGCACCAGGATCTGGTTGTGGCTCACGCAGAGCTTCTTCAGGTTCTTCAGCAGGTCCAGGTCTTCAGGCAGACCCAGCAGGAGGTTGTGACTCAGGTCCAGATCCACCAGGCGCTCCAGCTCCAGAACCACCCGGGGAACCAGGGAGAACCGGTTCCTGCGCAGAACCAGGACCCGCAGGTTGCTCAGGCTGGACCCCAGAACGTTAGGGAGGTCTTTCAGGGAGTTGTTCCCCAGGTTCAGGACCTCCACCTCAAAGAGTCAAGATCCAAAGATTCACAGGTTTCATACATGGTTTTGTGAAAATCCTGAATGTCCTCTTCCAACATGAGAGCAACATGCTAACTAAGGTACCCCAACTGTAGCTGAGAACATGACAGGATGTCCTCTTCCAACATGAGAGCAACATGATAACTAAGGTATCCCAACTGTAGCTGAGAACATGACAGGATGTGTGATTACCTAGAAGAGCATCAGGACTGTTTGAGGCATATGATAGCTATGTGATGAACATGATGATTCAGCCTCTATGGAGATAGACATATGAGTATAATACAAGATGCCAACCAGGTGAATGTTTACCTGTGAAACGTCCTCTGGGAAGATGATCTGGTTATCTTTGGAGCTGAGGGTCAGGTTCCTCTGGTCGCTGCGCAGCTTCCTGGACCTCAGAGCTGCGTCGCGCCACATCTGAGCCGCCTTCAGGTCCTCCTGCATGGGGGGGGCCATCCTCCACGGGGGGGCCCTCCTGCACTGGGGGGCCCTCCTCCTCCTCCTTGTTGTCATGGACGGTTTTCATAGGGGGGGCAGCATGTTTTGGGGGTATCTCGGAGTAAAGCAAAAGCACCAGGAAGTGAAGCAAATATTCGTAGTGGCCAAACGGTGGGACTACATCTCCCGTGACGTCATGTTGCCCCAAAAATACTTTTTCACCATTGACTTACATTGTTTATCTGAATAATCTCCCCAGCACGAGCTCTGTGTAGCCCTTATATAAATCCTCAGGGTGAAAAAGTCACTCAAATCTGAATCCAGCGTTATTTACGCGCTCCATTCCTTCACTGCGCATGCTCTGTGGGCCCACATCCGGGTCCTCCCGCTCCTGTGTTTGGGCTTCACTTCAGCTTCATAGAGATGAACTCTTTATGTCCCCCCCTCCACCTTGTTGTTATCATGGAGAGTTTCACGGGGCAGCATGGAGGATCCAGAGCGGGGGTTAATCTCAGAGATAGTCCCGGTGAAACGCAGCCTTTCTCCGGCAGCGTGTGCAGCATCCTCCCCTCCTGCTGCCCGAACGCAATGAACACAAACCGGGATCAGATCCGGGATCAGTCCGCTCTCTGAGCTCCAGACTCCGGGATCAGATCCAGGATCAGGCCACTCTCTGAGCTCCAGACTCCGGGTACAGGTCCAGGATCAGTCCGTTCTCTGAGCTCCAGACTCCGGGACCAGGTCCAGGATCAGTCCGCTCTCTGAGCTCCAGACTCCGGGTACAGGTCCGGAATCAGTCCGCTCTCTGAGCTCCAGACTCCGGGTACAGGTCCGGGATCAGTCCGCTCTCTGAGCTCCAGATCCCGGGTCTCTCTCCTCGCTGCTCCCGGGCCTCATGGTTCTTCTCAAGCCGTCCTCTGGAGCTCTTCCCCGGGTAAAATCTGCGTGTTTTCCTGGAGCTCCGCAGCCTGGTTTCTCTTCCTGCAGGGAGTGGAGATCACTGCGTCAGATCCCGGATCCTCCCTCTGTGTGTGTGTGTGTGTGTGTGTGTGTGTGTGTGTGTGTGTGTGTGTGTGTGTGTGTGTGTGTGTGTGTGTGTGTGTGTCTCTCTCTCTCTCTCTTTCTCCGCCCTGCTGCTGGAGTAACAAAAAAAAATGCTATGATAATATTTTATTTTATTTGTTATTGTTGTTTATTATCAATATAAAAAATGTTCACTAAAAAACACTTGATTTAAAAAAATACATATCTATATATATTTTTTATAATTGCTGTCATTTTTGTATTTATTCTTGTTGTTGTTTATTCAATTGTTGCAGTATTTATTTATTTTTTACAGGTTTAGTAATGTAATATAAAATGTCTCCTACATTAAGAAGTATATTGTGACAGCAGCTCGGGAGTCAAGAGTAAAACAGTATCTATAAGAAGAAGAAGAAACACTTTATTAATCCCTTACAGGGAAATGTCTTTCCCCACTCTGTTTACACACATCACACACACAGAGGATATACATGCACACACACAGAGGATATACATGCACACACACAGGTACCCGGCGCCAAGGGAGCAGTTTCGAGGTTAGGTGCCTTGCTCAAGGGCACCTCGGCAGTGGCCTTGGAGGTGAACTGGCACCTCTCCAGCTACCAGCTTACTGGGTCCGATCGGGACGTGAACCGGCGACCCTTCGGTTCCAAGAGCAAGTCCCTACAGACTGAGCCACTGCCTGCCCATAAGAAAATAAGTTGCTGTATTTATTGTAATAGTATAATAATATTTTACATGTTTAGAACCACACACTGTGCTTTAGCGTATTTCATTCATTAGTGTGTATTTTGTATATTTATATTTTTCGATGTGTGACATAACTGAACAGGTAGACAGGAGGTCAGTAACAACCAGGCCTCTGTCGCCCCCTGCTGGACAGGAGAGGGAGCGCTTTGTGCATTCATTCAACACTCAGAGTAACTCAGGTACAATCAGAGGAAGTGCTCCATGTACCTCTGAACTGTAGTGGAGTAGAAGTACACAGTAGCATACAATGGAAATACTCAGGTAAAGTACAAGTACCTCTAAAGTGTAGTGCAGTACTTGGTAAATGTACTTTACACCTGTGGGTGTAGTATACCTAATAAAAGGTCATTGCTGAACACAAAGAGATTACATTTTACGGGACATTACATGTTTTCGTCACATTGAAAATAAGTGTTTAATATAATATTTTAAGCACGTTCTCTTTAATGATATATATATATATATATATTTGTTTGTATTATTGCAGTTTCTATTTTCTTTTGACAGATTTTTACTATAACTTTTTTATGGTTGCAGTTATTTGTTTTTTTATTTTCTGAAGTATTCATTTATTTTTTGTTACAGCTTTTTTTATTTAAAGGTTTTATTTGTTTATTTGCAGTTTTTTAAATTATTTTGTGTATAAAGTTTATTTTTATATTGTTGCTGGTTAACGTGAGTAGACTCAGAGGAGACTCAGGTGAGACTCAGGGCAGACTCAGGGGAGACTCAGGTGAGACTCAGGTGAGACTCAGGTGAGACTCAGGGGAGACTCAGAGGAGACTCAGGTGAGACTCAGGGCAGACTCAGAGGAGACTCAGGGGAGACTCAGGGGAGACTCAGGGGAGACTCAGGGGAGACTCAGAGGAGACTCAGGTGAGACTCAGGGCAGACTCAGGTGAGACTCAGGGGAGACTCAGGTGAGACTCAGGGCAGACTCAGGGGAGACTCAGGTGAGACTCAGGTGAGACTCAGGTGAGACTCAGGTGAGACTCAGGGCAGACTCAGAGGAGACTCAGAGGAGACTCAGGTGAGACTCAGGGGAGACTCAGGGGAGACTCAGGTGAGACTCAGGGCAGACTCAGGGGAGACTCAGGTGAGACTCAGGTGAGACTCAGGTGAGACTCAGGTGAGACTCAGGGCAGACTCAGGGCAGACTCAGGTGAGACTCAGGTGAGACTCAGGTGAGACTCAGAGGAGACTCAGGTGAGACTCAGGGCAGACTCAGAGGAGACTCAGGGGAGACGGTGAGACTCAGAGGAGACTCAGAGGAGACTCAGGGGAGACGGTGAGACTCAGAGGAGACGGTGAGACTCAGAGGAGACTCAGAGGAGACGGTGAGACTCAGAGGAGACGGTGAGACTCAGGGGAGACTCAGAGGAGACTCAGAGGAGACTCAGAGGAGACGGTGAGACTCAGAGGAGACGGTGAGACTCAGGGGAGACGGTGAGACTCAGGGGAGACGGTGAGACTCAGGGGAGACGGTGAGACTCAGGGGAGACGGTGAGACTCAGAGGAGACGGGAGTACTCAGACGTGAGACTCAGAGGAGACGTCAGAGGAGACTACAGAGGAGACGTGAGACTCAGAGGAGACGGTGAGACTCAGAGGAGACTCAGGGGAGACTCAGAGGAGACTCAGGGGAGACTCAGAGGAGACTCAGGGGAGACTCAGAGGAGACGGTGAGACTCAGGGGAGACGGTGAGACTCAGAGGAGACTCAGAGGAGACGGTGAGACTCAGAGGAGACGGTGAGACTCAGGGGAGACGGTGAGACTCAGGGGAGACGGTGAGACTCAGAGGAGACGGTGAGACTCAGAGGAGACTCAGAGGAGACGGTGAGACTCAGAGGAGACGGTGAGACTCAGGGGAGACTCAGAGGAGACTCAGAGGAGACGGGTGAGACTCAGAGGAGACGGTGAGACTCAGAGGAGACTCAGGTGAGACTCAGGTGAGACTCAGGGGAGACTCAGAGACTCAGAGGAGACTCAGAGGAGACTCAGGGGAGACTCAGAGACTCAGAGGAGACTCAGGGGAGACTCAGAGGAGACGGTGAGACTCAGAGGAGACTCAGGGGAGACTCAGAGGAGACGGTGAGACTCAGAGGAGACTCAGAGGAGACGGTGAGACTCAGAGGAGACGGTGAGACTCAGAGGAGACTCAGAGGAGACGGTGAGACTCAGAGGAGACTCAGAGGAGACGGTGAGACTCAGAGGAGACTCAGGGGAGACTCAGAGACTCAGAGGAGACTCAGGGGAGACTCAGAGACTCAGAGGAGACGGTGAGACTCAGGGGAGACTCAGAGGAGACGGTGAGACTCAGAGGAGACTCAGGGGAGACTCAGAGGAGACGGTGAGACTCAGAGGAGACTCAGGGGAGACTCAGAGGAGACTCAGGGGAGACTCAGAGGAGACTCAGGGGAGACTCAGAGGAGACTCAGGGGAGACTCAGAGGAGACTCAGAGGAGACTCAGAGGAGACTCAGAGGAGACTCAGGTGAGACTCAGAGGAGACTCAGGTGAGACTCAGGGGAGACTCAGATGAGACTCAGATGAGACTCAGATGAGACTCAGATGAGACTCAGGTGAGACTCAGGAGAGACTCAGGTGAGACTCAGGAGAGACTCGGGTGAGACTCGGGTGAGACTCGGGTGAGACTCGGGAGAGACTCGGGAGAGACTCGGGTGAGACTCGGGTGAGACTCGGGTGAGACTCGGGAGAGACTCGGGAGAGACTCGGGTGAGACTCGGGTGAGACTCGGGTGAGACTCGGGTGAGACTCGGGTGAGACTCGGGTGAGACTCGGGTGAGACTCGGGTGAGACTCGGGAGAGACTCGGGAGAGACTCGGGTGAGACTCGGGTGAGACTCGGGTGAGACTCGGGTGAGACTCGGGTGAGACTCGGGTGAGACTCGGGAGAGACTCGGGAGAGACTCGGGAGAGACTCGGGTGAGACTCGGGTGAGACTCAGGTGAGATCCTGCTGTTTGCAGAGCGGCTCAAACACTGACCTCTGACCTTTAGATCCTCTCAAACAGAGCAGAGAGCAGCAGGTCATCGACTGTACACAGAAGTACACAGAAATATGTCCAGATGAAGAGCTATGGATATATTTTTAACACAATTATATATTATATTAATGGTTTTATGTTCTGTAATTGTGACCTTCAAAATAAACCAAACTGAAGTAAAACTTATACAAATATTTCACTTTATTTCTGTGTCTCCCCTCGTGCAGACAGCAGACAGATTTAAAACTTTAATAACATTTCATAGTTAAAAACATTCTCATTGAGCAGCATTCAGTGATCACATCAACGATTCTTAAAAACAATAAATTAACATTCATTTTCATTGAAGACTAAAAACACAGAAACTGTCTGTAGAGTGTTTCCTGCTGACATGATGTCTCTGCTCACATGTCGGCCCGCTGTAACGTGGACTCGCATGACGGCCCGCTGTAACGTGGACTCACATGACGGTCCGCTGTAACGTGGACTCGCATGACGGCCCGCTGTAACGTGGACTCACATGACGGTCCGCTGTAACGTGGACTCGCATGACGGTCCGCTGTAACGTGGACTCGCATGACGGTCCGCTGTAACGTGGACTCGCATGACGGTCCGCTGTAACGTGGACTCGCATGACGGTCCGCTGTAACGTGGACTCGCATGACGGTCCGCTGTAACGTGGACTCGCATGACGGTCCGCTGTAACGTGGACTCGCATGTCGGTCCGCTGTAACGTGGACTCGCATGACGGTCCGCTGTAACGTGGACTCGCATGACGGCCCGCTGTAACGTGGACTCGCATGACGGTCCGCTGTAACGTGGACTCGCATGACGGTCCGCTGTAACGTGGACTCGCATGACGGCCCGCTGTAACGTGGACTCGCATGACGGCCCGCTGTAACGTGGACTCGCATGTCGGCCCGCTGTAACGTGGACTCACATGACGGTCCGCTGTAACGTGGACTCACATGTGAGCAGACATGTCTCTCCTCACATGTCGGTCCGCTGTAACATGGACTCACATGTCGGTCCGACATGCGAGTCCATGTCGGTCCATGTCGGACCGACATGGACTCACATGTCAGTCCGCTGTAACGTGGACTCACATGTGAGCAGACATGTCTCTCCTCACATGTCGGTCCGCTGTAACATGGACTCACATGTCGGTCCGCTGTAACATGGACTCACATGTCAGTCCGCTGTAACGTGGACTCACATGTGAGCAGACATGTCTCTCCTCACATGTCAGTCCACTGTAACATGGACTCACATGTGAGCAGACATGTCTCTCCTCACATGTCAGTCCGCTGTAACGTGGACTCACATGTGAGCAGACATGTCTCTCCTCACATGTCAGTCCGCTGTAACATGGACTCACATGTCAGTCCGCTGTAACGTGGACTCACATGTGAGCAGACATGTCTCTCCTCACATGTCAGTCCACTGTAACATGGACTCACATGTGAGCAGACATGTCTCTCCTCACATGTCGGTCCGCTGTAACGTGGACTCACATGTGAGCAGACATGTCTCTCCTCACATGTCGGTCCGCTGTAACGTGGACTCACATGTGAGCAGACATGTCTCTCCTCACATGTCGGTCCGCTGTAACATGGACTCACATGTCGGTCCGCTGTAACATGGACTCACATGTCGGTCCGCTGTAACATGGACTCACATGTGAGCAGACATGTCTCTCCTCACATGTCAGTCCACTGTAACGTGGACTCACATGTGAGCAGACATGTCTCTCCTCACATGTCAGTCCACTGTAACATGGACTCACATGTGAGCAGACATGTCTCTCCTCACATGTCAGTCCACTGTAACGTGGACTCACATGTGAGCAGACATGTCTCTCCTCACATGTCAGTCTGCTGTAACGTGGACTCACATGTGAGCAGACATGTCTCTCCTCACATGTCAGTCTGCTGTAACGTGGACTCACATGTGAGCAGACATGTCTCTCCTCACATGACGGTCCGCTGTAACGTGGACTCACATGTGAGCAGACATGTCTCTCCTCACATGTCAGTCTGCTGTAACGTGGACTCACATGTGAGCAGACATGTCTCTCCTCACATGTCAGTCTGCTGTAACGTGGACTCACATGTGAGCAGACATGTCTCTCCTCACATGTCAGTCTGCTGTAACGTGGACTCACATGTGAGCAGACATGTCTCTCCTCACATGTCAGTCCACTGTAACGTGGACTCACATGTGAGCAGACATGTCTCTCCTCACATGTCAGTCTGCTGTAACGTGGACTCACATGTGAGCAGACATGTCTCTCCTCACATGTCAGTCTGCTGTAACGTGGACTCACATGTGAGCAGACATGTCTCTCCTCACATGACGGTCCGCTGTAACGTGGACTCACATGTGAGCAGACATGTCTCTCCTCACATGACGGTCCACTGTAACGTGGACTCACATGTGAGCAGACATGTCTCTCCTCACATGTCAGTCCACTGTAACGTGGACTCACATGTGAGCAGATATGTCTCTCCTCACATGTCAGTCTGCTGTAACGTGGACTCACATGTGAGCAGATATGTCTCTCCTCACATGTCAGTCTGCTGTAACGTGGACTCACATGTGAGCAGACATGTCTCTCCTCACATGTGAGCAGACATGTCTCTCCTCACATGTCAGTCTGCTGTAACGTGGACTCACATGTGAGCAGATATGTCTCTCCTCACATGTCAGTCTGCTGTAACGTGGACTCACATGCGAGCAGACATGTCTCTCCTCACATGTGAGCAGATATGTCTCTCCTCACATGTCAGTCTGCTGTAACGTGGACTCACATGTGAGCAGACATGTCTCTCCTCACATGTCAGTCTGCTGTAACGTGGACTCACATGTGAGCAGACATGTCTCTCCTCACATGTCAGTCTGCTGTAACGTGGACTCTGACAGCCGGTTGGGAAACAGAGAGCCGATAAACTGTTGAGAAATCTGCAAATATTCAGAATCAGCTCACGGCTTAACGCTGTTTCCAAAGGCAACACACATCAAATATATCCAGACACGAGCTGCAAATAAATATATAAATTAAATTAATCTGCAGATTAGATTCTGGATTATTGATTTGTTGCATAAAACAAAGAAGGATGAGCATCTCAGCGTGGGTTTAAATGTGGGGGTTTTGTCACAGAGAACAGCAGCAGTTCAGTTTAACAGGATAGCATTTTGCATGAAAAGTTTTATACAAAACAACATTCCTGCAACATTTCTAGATAAAAACCAAGTTATTTTTCATGCAGAAGTGGCAGATGCAGTTTTAACCTCTTAAATGCTGCTTTTCTGTTAATGAGAGAACATTGACATTAAATTGACATTTTATACTGAAAACACGAAGCGAGAAGACACCGTTTGGTTGCAGATATTTCTCAGTGAGGATTGGTCGGTAAAGTCATGTGACCTCCACTTCCCGTCAGTAGTCATGTGACCTCCACTTGCGGTCAGTAGTACGGCCCTGTGTTCTCGTACCTGGCGTAGCTCGGCCAATCAGGAAGGATCCCGTGAGAGCAGGAGGGGCTGCCGTACCGGTCGAAGTGAACCCCGAAATCAGAGGCGTTATCGGGGCGTCGGGTCTTCTTTGAGGCCGGCACGATGCGGTAGTTCTGGCCCTGGTTGCTGTCCCAGAACTCCTGCCCGCCCCCCGTCTGAAAACACACCGCAAACTCCCCTGTCTGGAGGCGGGGGGGCAGCAGGAAGGAGAACGAGAACGAGTCGCTGCCGGCACTCGGGTACGAGTCCGTCTCAAAGTCACAGTCCAGGTCCCGGTGAGACCGCCAGCCGTCCATCGAGAGGCGGAGCTTCACGGCTTTCTGGAAGCAAACGTTCCTGACGCGCACCGAGCCGCTCAGAACCCCCCCGTCCAGAACACAGTGGGACAAACACACCTGGTCCGAGTCCAGCCGGCGCCGGAAACTCAGGTAGTCCGAGGCCGGCGGGTCGAAGTCCAGAACCAGAGAGTCCAGAACCAGAGAGTCCTGAGGAGATGAACTGAGACTCTGACGGACCCTCAGAGAGTTCTTAAGGTCCTGAGAGTCCAGAACCAGAGAGTCCTGAAGGTCCTTAAGAGAGGAACTGAGCCTCTTCCGGACCCTCCGAGGGATCCGGACGTCGCTGAACGGACAGAAAACCTTGACCCGAGTCAGAGCGAGACCCCGATGATCTGCAAACGTCACCTGCTTCTTCTTCTTCCCGGACTCCTTCCTGCAGGACGGTTCCTCCGGAGACGCTTCCCGGGGCTCAGAAGACGAGATGTAGAGGAAGTCCTCTGAGGAGGAGGACAGGAAGAGAGGCATGATGTCCACCGGCATGAGGGGGGGGGGGACTGAGGGAGAGAGGGCAGGGTTACTCTTTACATTCTATATGTATACTTTTTAAATGCAAAACACAGGACAATAAAACCAGACTTAAAGCCACAGACTGAACTCAGATGAACCTGGTCCCTCCAACATGACCTCAGTCTGGATCAAACTACAGTTACAACTCTTTACTTTCTACCTTTAGACTGGTTTGAGACTGGTCTATAGAAACAGACGGGTCAGGTGACCAGTTTAATGGTCCATATGAAACCCTTATAAACCTCAAAAGTGCTGAATATTAAGGAACTAGAACTGGGTCAATTGTTATATATTTTAGTTTCTGCTATGTACTCAAGGTTTTATTATAAATGAAAAATAATCTGTAGAATAAATGTTTAGTAAAAATCTAGCTTCCAAAATGTAGAAATATAAAGTATTAGTACAGAAGGGAAACACTCGGGGAAAGTACCTCCAATGTGTACTTAGGTAAATGTACTTAATAACTTAACAGCACTGCATATATTCAACATTAAACACGACATTAATAACTTTAAAAAAACCTTTTAAATGTTGTAAAATCTTCCCAGAGTTCCCGCCTTACAGAACCTGCCTAGTAACAGCGGACAGGAAGTGGTTTTACCTGCAGCCGCTCGTGAGGATCATCACGCGGCGGATTCCCTCTGATCTGTCGCTCGCGAGGAGCTCTCTCGCGCTCTGAGTGTTTCTTTTTTTGAGTCTCTAGGCCACAGAGAGGGGCACACCGGCTTCACGTGAACACCTGCAAGCAGCCAATCAGAGGCCGAGCTGCCGGAGTGATCGACGCGTCAGAGGGGCGTGACGCGGGAAGTATGGAGGCTCATTGGTGTCAAAATGAGATGTAACGGGATTTCTAACTGACAAATATTACGCTAATTTCCACTCGTTACTATACGTCAACATGTTGACTGAATTACAACTTATTTTTATATTATTTATTTTTGCTTTATAACAAAAGGAATATCAATCAACACTGAAATGTAACAGTACTGTAGTTAGCTTAGAGGCTATTTCTCATTAGCATTCCCTTTGCATGAAGAATATTCCTATAGGCAGGGGTGCACATAACTGGTACGCAGGTACGCATGCGCGGCAACAATCTGAAATGCGTAACGTCACTTGTGTCACAACGCGCCTTTGCGTACCTGATAGGTCATCAAAACAAAAACACATATTTCTTCTATACGTGTTTCTTGTCAACACTCAGTGGAGTAAATTATTAGACATGTCCAAAAAAAAACAAAGACATTAAGCAGCCACTTTGCCGTTTCGCTCCCTGCAAAAATCTTCGGACTTTCTATGACTGATTGAACTGGGTGCTGGCCGTGCCGCGCAGGACATAACCGACGGACCTGTGAAGCTTCACAGGAGGCAGAGGCTTAGATCACTGGACGACAGAGTTGGTCGCCGTGTGCACAGACGGGGCTGCTGTTAACGTCGGTGTGTACAACAGAATTGTACCAAAACTACATCAACTGGCTGCGGTGGGAGACTCCCCTGTGCACATTCTGTGCCCCGCGCACACACTGGAGAACTGCGCAAAATCAGCTGATCACAACGGTCACGCTCTGTGGTCAAGCTGCTGCAGTTAAAACACACAGCTGCAAACTTACTCAGGCTGTTAATGGAAGAGTTTGAAATCAGACGGGGTTAGGTGGATGAAGTGTTACTCAAGTAAAATTAGAAAAGTATTATCATCAACACCTAGTTAAAGTAGCGACAGTAAAAGTAGTCATTTTGCAGATTGGTCCATTTCATAATAATGTATATGATATGTTTTATAATTATTGATCATTAAAGTGTTTAAAAATTAGTTTGAATGACTTTGTATAGGCTACTGCAGGGTAGCTTGTGAATTTACTCCAGGTGGAACTAAAGTCTGATTTAACACTTGATTATATTTCACATCATTCATCCAGATCTGTGAAGTAACTAAAATGTATTAACTACATGTAGTGGAGGAAAAGTACATGATTTACCTCTGAACTGTAGTGGAGTAGAAGTACAAAGTAGCATAAATTGTACCTAAGTACAGTACTTGAATAAATGTACTTTGTTACTTCCCTCCTCTGAAATCAGATATGACTACAAGTCATGTGATCATTTCTTAGTATTTGATCCTTCAACTTGGCCTCAGGAAATGCAAGGACTTCACAGTTTTGGCAACAAGTTTTGGAGAAAGCAAATCGGAGGCTTAAAAAGAGACAGGGAGGTGCATCTTCATCATCTTCATCATCTAGCATGCAAGAAGTGTAAATAGAGGACAGTGAAGGAGACACTGAGGAGGACAGTGAGGAAGACTGCACTTATTAAAACCACGCTTCATGTGGGGTGAGTACCAAACGCTGTCTCCTGGTACTCATCTGAGTAACTCACTAAAAAAGTTATGTGCACACCTGCCTATAGGAAATAAAAATAAGCACAACGGTATTTATTACAAGCTTTATTTCCTAGCCATGTTTATTCATTTCAAAAGCACACATATACACTTTGTTAGCGTGTGTATTAACATGTTTAAACTGAGATGCCTTCAGGGTCACACATTCACTCACGTCCCGAGTCCGACAGAGATTTAAAACTCATCCTGATCGTTATCGTACGACACGGAGAGTTAAATGATGTTGACTTTATTGGAGCTCTGTGGAGCAACCAAGCGGCAAACTCTGGGGAAGAGCCGGGACGCCAATACGGAAGTGCCACAAACTGCAGTTCATATATTGGCCGATAGGCGATGACTGCAGAAAGGAGCAATTTCCATAGACCCCAATGTTAAAATGCCCAATTTCACAGCAGAAAAAAAACGTTTCTAGCCCTGGATGCAATACATTTTATTATGTATATAGTTAGATTCCACCTTCGTGATTATGAATCTGTGAGTGAATTGTTTTCTAACATGACCCTTTTATTTATATTAGGTCTTAAAGTTTTTGCATAAATTAGGGCGTGGTCACATTGAGTGACAGCTCTGTCAGGTGACTGCTGCTGTTAGCTTCTTGTCTCTCTGCTAGCTGCTCCGTCCGTGAAGCTACAGGGACACTGCCTGCTCAGTTCATCCAGGGAACACAACTTGACCCCGGCCGTGTTTGTTTGTTCTTCATGCTTATATATCGGACTATTGTGACTCGCTCTGCGGTTAAAACAGACGGTGCATGAATGCCGTTTTGCGGTAAGTGAAATTCGAGTACTTTATTTATGTGTTTATGATTTTAATCAGCTACGTAATGAATGTTAAGGCTTGGGTTAGCGTGTAAGCGAGTGGTAGCTACATCTGTGCTAACGATGCTAATCGTATCCTCCAAGTTAACTTAAAGCCATAGACTGTATAAAGGTTAAAACGAAATAGACAAGTGTTAAGCGTTAAGTGGGATAATACTGTAGAACAAAAGGCTTCTGTTTGAGGTTGATAAAATAAGGTCATCCTTGTAACTTAGAGAGATATTTTATTATGTAGGTAGGAACTGTATGCATCGCTAAGGTTAATTTAAATCCGCTATGCTCTAGTATGTAGACAAGCTAACGTCGAAGTAGTGTATGTGAAATCAACCTCACAATAAGATGTGTGTATATTACAATTATTAATGTCATATTTCAAGATGATTACTTCGATATTACAATATGGTTGGTTGAGCTGGAGTTCATTATTGAGCTTACACGTTAACGTCACAGTCATCTGAAGAACGAACCCAAACCTTGTTGTTTTTATTAATTGCATTAACAAATTGGTATCAAATAAACAGTAACACAACAGCATTGGTAACACAACTTCCAAAGTTACAGTAAAATAAAAAGGACCCTGACTCGGACAATACACAATCCAACATGTTCAACAGAAGAGAATAAGTTATATTGTTTGTACACATGGTGCTTTACATATATATCTGTTTGTTTAAAGTGTGCAGGTGATGCAGACAGGATGGACCAGAGAGTGAGAGACAGAACTGGACTCCTCACAGCAGTGAACTTCAGCACAGGTACAAATACTGTACAAAGAATCAAGAAAGATATTGGTTTAAATAAATGAAGTATTGACTTTAATACACTGATATACATTCCATTAAACAATACTAAATACTAGATCACCTACACATCAGTGAAGTTGAGGGGTTTTTCCATGCAAAGGGTTACATTTAGATGTTAACAAGCAATATTACTGTCAGCTTTCTAATTTAAGGTATTGAAGGCAAAGCTATTTAACGCATAGTGACAACTGCTATTTATCTCTCTATATTGTCTGTAAAAACGTGGTAAAAGTTATGATTTCAAGCTTCTACAGTTGCACTAAGTTTTAATAACAGTTAAATATTATTTTGATAATAAAATACATTTCAATGTTGATGAATGTCATACTGTTCATTCATAATCTGATTGTCTTTGTAGCTCACTGTTGAAATAAAATAAAACATGACAATTACAAAATAATTATATCTACAGCCCCTAAACACAAGCACACCTCTTTCATAAATAACACACTTGTTCTGCAATAATATGCTTTATGTTTCCTGTCATTTTTGTTAGGAAAGGACATGCCTGAAAGACACGACTCAACATCTCCTCTTTCTCTGAGGGTCAAGAAGAACATCCAAGAGGAAAATTAAAAGCTGATGTTATGAGATGTTAAGACCAGTACAGGACATTCACTAAGAAACTACTTTTATTGTGAAGTCAGCTGATCGAATGCACCTATTTCCACATCTACACTCCATCAGCTGATTATTTCTATTTGCCTCACTTCATGAGCTTCACAACATGTACCTTGTACCGCAGAGTTTGCAACGTCACAAATAAATGGGGCCAATCTTCAGTCGGATGTGAATGTGTAATCTAACATTTTCAGTAAGAATAATGGACAAAAGGAGTGCAAATACAAATTCAATTTATTGAAATGTGAACCAAAAGTTAATCAAACATGTTTTAAATAAAAAGCACATATGGACAGAAGGTGTAAACCTATTAAATGTATAAGTAAACACATGTAGTCAAATAAAGTGACAGACCTGATCAGGTGGTATCAGCATGGGCTCTTCCATCAGGCCTGGTCCTCCTCGCTGAGGAAAGACCCTCAGTCCTCTCCAAACCAACAGACTGGACGTCCATCACACGGAGGTTTCTCCCTGAAGTCTCTGCAGCTCTCTGGACACCACGCTGTCTCAATCCGTCCATCACACGGAGGTTTCTCCCTGAAGTCTCTGCAGCTCTCTGGACACCACGCTGTCTCAATCCGTCCACACTGAATATGAGAGGGGGAAAATGAAAATAATAAATGCTTTAGACAATAATAAATATAAAGTTGACTGTTGAGTTGCTCAGTTTTTTTAGATTGTCAATACTATTACTGTATAACTAATATCTCAGGTTAAGACGCACCTTCAAATAAAGATTGGTCTTTAAATACATTTTGTCTTTTGAATTGTTTGTCTAAAGTCAAGGATCTAGAACTGGTACTTGTAGTTTTAATGATACAGTCTGGTTATAATGCGGTTTGGAGGAGGCCTCACAGGTAAGAGCACTAACTAGCTACCATCACATGCACCTTAGCTTAACTTAAATGTATTAAACGTATAATTAAGTGATAGCAAAATATAAATAACTAATGTCATGCAAACATATTAATATTTGCTTGATTCCAGTGTTGCATTTAGCACATTGCATACAAACGTTAAGGGATTTTAAGATTCTGAAGTATTATGCTAAAAACTCAATAACTTAGATTATTATTTATAGTTTTGCTGAATAGTTTCATGTCCGCTTACCTTAGAAACGTAAAATGTGACGGCAGTGTGCAGATGGGGAAGCATGTTAGCTTAGCTTCTTAGCTTGAGCTAGCTCTGTTACTTCCCAGCTGGAGGCAGAAGGTCCCGCCTCGGCTCCGCCTCTTTGCCCTTATTTGGAGCAGGCGGGAGTTAGACTCTGACGTCACTGTCGAGCCGTTAGTGGCCGACTCCGCCTACTAAGGGCTTCTCGGCAACTCTGCAGAATCCTATGGGTGACGTCACGGACACTACGTCCATTTATATAGACAGTCTATGGGAGCAACGTTATGAAACAGGTCTGAATTTAGTTCTGCAAATATTTGCTCAGGGTTACGCAGCGTGTGTCCCTGAACAACGCACCGTGTGACCCTGAACGCACCGTGTGTCCCTGAACAACGCAGTGTGTGTCCCTGAACAACGCGTCCCTGAACAACGCACCGTGTGTCCCTGAACGCACCGTGTGACCCTTAACAACGCATCGTGTGTCCCTGAACAACGCACCGTGTGTCCCTGAACGCACCGTGTGACCCTTAACAACGCAACGTGTGTCCCTGAATGCACCGTGTGTGGAAATGTAAATGTGAAAATGTGACCTGGAGCTTCAATCGATCTCACCTGCTGGTTTTATTCAGTAATCTGTTTACTTTAAAGTGGACCTATCATGCTATATTTGAATAATATAGTGTAGGGCCATACCTATATAAGGCATATTGATACTTTTTTTTTCTTCAAAATACCAAACAGATCATGCATTTTAGCCATGCCTCATTTTGCTCAATTTGACAATTTCTAGCTCTGTTTTAGCAAGGGCAGATTCAGTGAGAACAGCACCACCTACAGGCCTGGCATATGTACTACAGCATCTCCAGCGCTTTGAACGGCAATGGCCGTGGCTGTCTCCTCCTGATTGGTGGAGTTGGCCCAATAGCCGTAGCGCCACCGTCCTGACGTCAGGACAGTGTTCAAATCTGGATCAGTTTTTATCAGATCCGTTGCAGCCCCTTTTTTAGAGATTTGGGTATGGAGGAAAATAGAGAGGGTTGTGTTTTCTGACACTTGGTGAGTTCCCTGGAACACCGGGGACACATATTCATGTAGAAAAGACGTACACAAGTGCATTTTGCATGATAGGTCCCCTTTAAATATGAATCTGATTACCTTTAGTATTAATTTGATTACATGAAATAAAGAAATCCTCAGTTTTAAGATTTTATTTTTTATTTTGTACAAAAACACGGAAACAAAGTCTTAACCTTCAATCAGCTGACGTTTGGTCACCACAGTAACAACCAATCAGAGAGGAGCAAACAGGAAATTGCACTTAAAAAAACCAGGAAGCAGATTTTCCTCAAAATAAAACGTGATTCTCTTTAAAGTGAAGCTCAGGGAGTTTAGCGTGAACCTGAAAACTAAAATAAATAAATGAATATTTAACGTTAAAAAGAGAAACATTTTTTAAAATGAATACAAATACAATTCAGGAAGTTTTTAAAGATTGTCTTCTTTTACTTTGAAGGGGTTAACAGGAAGTTCCGTCTAACCTGTCCATGAGAGAAGCAAATACAGGAAAATAAAATACTGTTTCCTGTTCGCCTCCGAAGTAAAATACTGAAAAACATCAAAATAAAAAAACCCTGTGATTTTTCTGTGATTCTAACAGAGAGGATTCTGGGAAATGAAGTGTGTAGATTCAGGAGAAAGGACGACTTCTCGTTCTGTGATGTCACTTCCCTTTTCCCACAGAATCACCAAAACAAAAGCTTCTCTCGACAGAATTCATTATTTATTTTTTTACAGTTTTTCCATCGCCTTCAAACAGAGCTTCGTCTTCTTGGAGCTCCTTTCTCTCTTTGATTCATAATCTACCAAGACACAGGAAACGCCCACAGCTCACCTTCAGAATAAAAGCCCTGCAGGTCAGCGGCGGTACCTCCCCCTCTCCTTGTCTCTCTCCCTCTCTCTCTCCCTGTCCCTCCCCCCCCTCTCCCTCTCTCTCTCCCTCCGTGGGACACCCCTCTCTCTCTCTCTCTGACGCTCTCTCTCTCTCCGGCCGCTCACCACCGCCTGCGTGCGCCGCAGGAAGTCGTCCACGCGCATGTCGTAGTCGTGCTGCATGATGGGTAAAAAACACAGGAGAGAGGTCAGAGGTCAGATAAACACTGAAGATGCAACAATAACACATAGAAACTCAGAAGTACAACTCCAAAGAACTACAACGGCTCACTCAGAACTACAATTGTGTACTTAGCACTACAACTGCACACACACTGTAAATGCTAAAAACTACAATTGTTGAGTGCAAAACCAAGATGTTTGAATTAAAACTACAACTGTAAAGCGTGAACAACCAAGATGGCGTCGGAGGTCATGTGACTCACCGGGCTGGAGGGGAAGGCGCGGTGCGGCGGCGCGCGCTGCTTGTCTCTGAAGCGAGGGGGCGGGGCCTCGTGAGGAGGCATGGGGGGATGGTGGTGGTAGGCCTGGTGGGGGGGGGGGCGGGGGGTGGGTGTGGTGGTAGTAGGGAGGGTGGTGGGGGGGGGGGCTGCTCCACGCCGGGGGGGTACGCCTGGACGACAAACAGCAAGGATTATTAATCAATAACAATATAATGATATTAATATAAAGAGATCAATATGAGGGGGGGGGGGGGGGGGGTTACCAGAGTCTGCCAGGGGGCGGGGGGGCCCACGCTGTGATGGTAGTCCCTCATGTAGTCGTTGTACGACTGAAACAGAAACACACCTTTAGAAACACAAGCTACAAGCTAACAGGTTCATTATAGCTTTGACAGGCCAACAGGTAATGTGAAGCTAAGCTAACAGGTTAACAGGTTAATAATGAAGCTAAGCTAACAGGTTAATAATGAAGCTAAGCTAACAGGCTAAAAGGTTACTAATGAAGCTAAGCTAACAGGATAAAGGGTTAATTAGGAAGCTAAGCTAAAAGGTTACTAAGGAAGCTAAGCTAAAAGACTAAAAGGTTACTGAGGAAGCTAAGCTAACAGGCTAACAGGTTACTAATGAAGCTCAGCTAACAGGTTAATAATTAAGCTCAGCTAACAGGCTAACAGGTTACTAATGAAGCTAAGCTAAGAGGTTAACAGGTTAATAATGAAGCTAAGCTAACAGGTTAATAATTAAGCTAAGCTAAAAGGTTAATAATGAAGCTCAGCTAAAAGGCTAAAAGTTTAATAATGAAGCTCAGCTAACAGGCTAACAGGTTACTAATGAAGCTAAGCTAACAGGTTAACAGGTTAATAATGAAGCTCAGCTAACAGGTTAATAATGAAGCTAAGCTAACAGGTTAATAATGAAGCTAAGCTAACAGGCTAAATGGTTACCAAGGAAGCTAAACCAACAAGAATACAGGTAAACATGATGCTAAGCTAACGTGTTTCTCACCCCGTTGAGAAACACGTCTCGCCGCACGCTGGAGAACCGTCTGAAACCAACAACAAGTTTAAATGAAAATCACATTTTTTCTTTTTACGAATACATTTAAAGTTTTCACGGCGAAAGAAACTTTTTTAAATCAGATTTTCACGTTTTCCTTAGATTGTGACTTTTTATTCAGAATGGTGACTTTGGTTGAGACCCCCGACTCACCTGTCCACCGGCTGGTTACGAAGGTCCTGGATGAACCCTACAAATTAAATAATAAATAATAATCCGTTACATTTGATATTTCTCTCTTCAGTTCCCGACTGCAGGCGGAAACACAACGGACTCAAAGAAACACAAACTCAGAATGAATACAGTTTAAAAACATCTTCCGACCCGAGAACAGGAACTACAAAAAAACACGACTCGTCAGAACTAACCTTAAAGTGAACATCAAAAATACTTTAAAATGTGAAAGCAAGACTGAAAAGTACAGGATTTATAAAATATAAACTAAAAATAAAAATATACTATATATAAAACTAACTTTTTAAAAAGTTATACAAAAGAATCTGAAACATCTCCAGGTGTCACAGAGCCAAAGGTCCTTAAAGGGTAATAAACACAGTGATATTTAATAAGTGGATGATCTTCTCAGATAACGACCTGCTCTCTGGTTGAACTCCGGCGGACCGTCGGGTCGCGGCCGCTTCCTGCCGTGCAGATCGAACTCTTCAGGACGACGCCTAGCAGACAACACACTGTTAACACACACACACACACACACACTGTAACACACAGATACACACACAGTGATACACAGTAACACACACACACACACACACAGATACACACTCCCATTTAAGATGTACTTCCTGTTTACCCCAAACACAACCAGACTCTTTACTTTCACTAATACTCACTTTGTTACCTCTCCACACCACCTGGAAAACACCTGAGCTCATCCACACACACTTTAGCATGTTCCCTCTGTACAAGCTGGACTATATGTTTCATGTTTACGTCTTGACTCATCAGTTTCCCTCCTCTTGAGAACATCTCCATCACTAACCGCTTTGAATCAAAGGGAACAGGAGGCGGGCGTGGTGGCCATCTTTGGAGGACAGCGTCTATAGCAACCATCAGTTTATAGTATATATCAGTATATATATCAGTGTATAAGAGTATATATATCAGTATATATCAGTATATATATCAGTGTATAAGAGTATATATATCAGTATATATCAGTATATATATCAGTGTATAAGAGTATATATATCAGTATATATCAGTATATATATCAGTGTATAAGAGTATATATATCAGTATATATCAGTATATAACAGTATATATATCAGTACATAAGAGTATATATATCAGTATATATCAGTATATATCCTGCTTACTGTCAGCGGGTCGGCATCAGAACTGATTGAAACATGTGTGAGATATAAATGAGAAGCTCTAACGCGCTCTGATGTTTCTGTGTGCTTTCTACACCTGTCCGTTCTCTAAACACATGAGATACCTGGAGGCCATGCCAGGTGTTCAGACAGATGAAGGACTAGAGAGAGCCGCAGTGACGCGTCCTAAAACCCAGAAGTAAACTCCTTCCGGGTCCTTGGTCAGAAAGCCAGTGAGATCAGGTCTGTGGTTGAAACACATTGAAGAGACAGATCACGTTTTGTTCAGTCGGATAATCTCCACATGTCTGCCCTACTTTGATCATTTTCTAATCATAAATCTAATCGATAGATTTATGATTAGAAAATGATAAGAGACGGGTCACTGCGGCACTCTACAGAGGTCAGAGGTCAGACAGCTAACGCCATGCTAACTCATTAATATCCCAGTGTGTGTAAACTGCAGTAGAGAGGTCCCTCCCCTTCCTCCATGGGACCTGATTTCAGAAAGTTATGCATTGAAGTCAATGGAGAGAGAAAGATTATCTTTGGATCCCGTTTGAATTGAGCCATGAATTACACATATGATGTTTGTCAATTTAAAAGATAATTTTACAAGTCAAAAAAATAAAAATGTGTGGTAAAACTGTGAAGTAACACTTTGTGTGAAACCGCTCAATGAACTCCATCTCCCGTCTCGCACCACACACCCAGACGGCCGTCACGTTGGCACATCTCACTTCTTTCTTTCAGAATGAGGCAGAAAGTATTAAAAGAGGTGAAAATCACTCCAAGTCTGGGCATGTTGAGAGCTGTGCATACACACAAGGGGAGTTAGTCGGTTCCTAAGAGCCAGCATGCGGGACCGGGACTCTGGGATTTGTAGTCTTTCTAGTTGGGTATTTTTCATAGTCTTATATTTCAACAGTTTTACGACAAACTGTGACTTTTTTGACATGGAAATTATTATTTAAGATTGACAAACATCATATGTGTAATTCATGGCACAATTCAAAATTTCTCTCTCCATTGACTTCAATACATACTTTTTCTGAAATAAGGTCCCATGGGTCGGAAGTAGATGGGCGGGACTTCGCCTCTCTATCCTTCCTGTTCCTGTAGTTCAACACATTCAGCGCCTCCTCCTCCTGATGTTTCTACGTCTGTTACTTTAAAATATAATCCTGTGATCTCCTGCTGTTGGTTATAGGAGTGACAGCCGGTGACGTCACAGACCCTTTCAAACGTTAAAAGTGGACAGTAGTGACACGTTAGTTATAAATGAGGGTCGCTGGTATCCTCCAAAGATGTCCGACCTGCCGTCACCTTCCCTTTAGCATCTGTTAGGACTCTCGGGTCAGCATGGAGACAGTTCCCTTCAGTACCTGAGTGTGATGTAGAGATAACCCTCCTGTCACACCTGTTCACTTTGAACCCTTTAACTCACTCTGATGTGAAACAGTCTCAGGTCAGAGAGGAAGGGTCTTAGCTTTAGTTTTTAAATCTTCCCTGAGGTGTTAATCTGTCTGTTTTCTGGATGTTGGAATAACAGTTTCCTGTCTGGTCACCAAAAGACACATTAGCTTCACACACACACAATAAAAAAAACAAACGAAGAAGAAGAAGCCTCTGGAGGACACATACCGCTCCGCTGCTTAGTGGAGGACACTCTGATATTAAAACACAGCTCTCTCCTCGGTCCATGTTTAAGGCTTTTTATAAACCCTCTTATTTTGAAAGGGGTGGGGGGGTGATGATGATGATGATGATGATGGTGCAGTCCTTTCAATCATTAACCACAGCCCCGCCCCCTCTCAAAGCCCCGCCCCCTCCAGCAGTCCTTAAAGCGACACACACCTCTATTTTCAGTTCATAAGAGAGCGACACACACACACGCGCGCACACACACAACAGTTCTTAGGTCCTGACTCAGTGTGTGTGTGTGTGTTCTGGGAGGAGTCTTTTCTTTGAGGGGGGGGGGGGTCCTCACTCTTTCAGTCCAACAGGAAATACCTTTTAAATCCTGTCCATTTTTTCCTGTAATTTTACCTTATTGGATAAAGTGAGGAAGCCCCGCCCCCACACACACTCCCCTCCCTCTCATTGGTTGCAGTCCAGAGGCCACGCCCCCCTGCGTGACCAACCACCACCTCTCAAAAACCAGAACAGTCCGCTGGGTCGGTCCCTCCCTCCCGCTTTTATTCTGAAAGGTCGCTCGTCCTTTATGCTTTTATTCTGAAAGGTCAGCCACAGTCCAGCTGAAAGACAAACCCTGAACGAACTTCCTGTAACGAAAGAGTAATAACAACAGGAAGTGAAACCTCGTTACTTACTACTTCATTTCAAGCGTCTTTGAGCACTCGGGAAAGCGCTTTGAAAATCCAATGTGTTATTATTATTGATTAACCTGATGCTCTGCTAGCTGTTACCCATCACCTCTCAACTGAGGGTCTACTTCCTGCCTGACTCTTTAAGGAGGCGTCACTCCGGTGGAAAACTCCAAACTGGAAAAACAACAACAACAACCAGCTAGCCGCAATGCTAACTAGCCTCGATGCTAGCTAGCCGGCGGCTAACGGGCGTCTCCGTGGTCCAGGTGGCGCCGTGGTGGCAGCAGCAGAAGAAGAAGAACAGGAAGCAGGGGGAGGAGCTCTGTGAGCAGCTCTGTGATTGGCTCTGTGAGCAGCTCTGTGATTGGCTAACCTTCCCGGCTCGCGCTGCGGCGGACGACCTCGCGGGCGCGGCTCCGACGGCGTCTGGCGCTTGTGACGAACTCTGCGAGCGACCTGGTGCACGTCCACGCTCTCGTCCAATGGGAAGAGAGCACAGAGCTGAGCGCCGACTTCTGGTTGGATCTCCTGGAAGGGAAACGAGAAAAGAGAGTTCACCGGATTTGAATTTGATTTATTTCAAATGTGTAAAACAATAATACAAAAATAATAATGATGAAATGAAACTTGATACTGGACAAACTGAAGCGCGGAGACACAGACATATTATTGACTTACAAATTATATATTAACAAATGACCTGATTAAGAACTTTACACTCAGTTAACCCCTTCTCCCTAAACTCCATTATTTTGCTGTGACGTTAAGATAAAAGCCTCACCTGTCCGTCTCGTCCGATCTTCACGGGCTTCTGTTCGTTCCAGGGGTTGGACAGGTGGGCCGTCTTCGTGAAGGGAAGCTCCCTCCTGAGAAACACAATCACATGTTTAGATATCAGAGAAACTCAGGACAGTAAATCCATGATCACCGTTAGCATACCGTTTCCTCATGTGCTAACTCTCTAATATCTGGTCTATATCCTTTGAACTCTTCAGACGCTCAGCAGCTTCAGAGGAGAGATGGCAATGCTCCTGAGCTCCTCCAACAATGCACCATATATAATGAAATACAAGAATACTAAATCCTCATGCTAACACTCCTGGCAGCTACATTAGCGCTCGTGTAGATGTTTACCTGCAGAGCCAGTCGATCTTGAACACGCCTCCCAGCATCTTAGCGTTCATGCCAGCGGGGAGCACCCAGTGGATCGGAGAGCCGCCGTGATGCGACTCTGAGGAGAGCCGGGCGAAGCCTGGAGAGAGGGAAGGTTGCAATTAGGGGTGCGCCAATTCACAAACATCTCTGCCGATTCAGAATCGATTCAGTCGTTTCTACGGCGTGAGCTACGGCGTGAGCTACGGCGTGAGCTACGGCGTGAGCTACGTCATGTCCCGCTAACATGGCACTTTGACTTTATGCAGCATCCAGGGACACACACACACACACACACACACACACACACACACACACACACACACACACACACACACACACACACACACACACACACACACACACACACACACACACACACACACACACACACACACACACACACACACACACACACACACACACACACACACACACACACACACACACACACACACACACACACACACACACACACACACACCAACTCCTGAGCTATTTTGAATCGCGATTTGGAATAGTGAGATTTCCTGAATCGTGCACCCCTAGTTAAAATATCTGAAGGCTAACAGAGGAATGCTAAGGGAGAGGAAGGCTAACGGAGGAGCTAACGGAGGAGCTAACGGAGGAAGGCTAACGGAGGAAGGCTAACGGAGGAAGGCTAACGGAGGAGCTAACGGAGAGGAAGGCTAACTTTTACCTTGGAATTTCCCGCTCTCCCTCACAGAGAAGACGAGGACGACGCTTCTCGCAGAGCGGAACGCTGCGTTCAGTTTCTTCTCGTTCACCGGCAGCGTCGACCACACGCCCTGAAGAAACATCGGAAACACGTTAACACTGACATGTTTACACGTTAACAAGACAAACACCACCAAGATTCAGCACGTAGACAACAGGAAGTAGAGAGGTGATCAACAGGAAGTAGAGAGGTGATCAACAGGAAGTAGAGAGGTGATCAACAGGAAGTAGAGAGGTGATCAACAGGAAGTAAAGATGTGATCAACAGGAAGTAGAGAGGTGATCAACAGGAAGTAGAGAGGTGATCAACAGGAAGTAGAGGTGATCAAAAGGAAGTAAAGATGTGATCAACAGGAAGTAGAGAGGTGATCAACAGGAAGTAGAGAGGTGATCAACAGGAAGTAAAGACGTAGACAACAGGAAGAGGTGATCAACAGGAAGTAGAGAGGTGATCAACAGGAAGTAGAGGTGATCAAAAGGAAGTAAAGATGTGATCAACAGGAAGTAGAGAGGTGATCAACAGGAAGTAGAGAGGTGATCAACAGGAAGTAGAGAGGTGATCAACAGGAAGTAAAGAGGTGATCAACAGGAAGTAGAGAGGTGATCAACAGGAAGTAGAGAGGTGATCAACAGGAAGTAGAGAGGTGATCAACAGGAAGTAGAGAGGTGATCAACAGGAAGTAAAGAGGTGATCAACAGGAAGTAGAGAGGTGATCAACAGGAAGTAGAGAGGTGATCAACAGGAAGTAGAGAGGTGCAGGAAGTAGAGAGGTGATCAACAGGAAGTAGAGAGGTGATCAACAGGAAGTAGAGAGGTGATCAACAGGAAGTAGAGAGGTGATCAACAGGAAGTAGAGAGGTGATCAACAGGAAGTAGAGAGGTGATCAAAAGGAAGTAGAGAGGTGATCAACAGGAAGTAGAGAGGTGATCAACAGGAAGTAGAGAGGTGATCAACAGGAAGTAGAGAGGTGATCAACAGGAAGTAGAGAGGTGATCAACAGGAAGTAGAGCTAACCTTAGCTTTAGCCAGCGAGACGTTCTCGTGGTTGTTGCTCTTGATGAGGAAGAAGCGAGCGTCTCTCAGGATGTAGCGCAGCTTGCTGGTCGGAGCTGAAACACACGAGTAATCTCAGTATTTCATTTAATCTGAAAAATAACAGTAATCTGATTATATAAAATGGCCGCCCTTACTCTCCATCCCTTTGCGGACGGCTCGGACCGAAGACGACAGTTTCTCCTGCTTCTTCTCCGAACCTTTCAGAATAAAAGCACAGAATTCACCAGGTCATACTTTAATACGGAAACCATGACCATGTTTTGATAATAATACACTTTATTTATAGCACCTTTCATGCTTTAAAGTGCTTTATTGTTCAATTGTTCCAAAGTGAAAGCCAAATTAAAAAGATTGAGGTTTGCTGTTCTGAGATCACATGACTTTGATGGGACTGAAGTAGCTTCCTAAATGTCCCTGATTGGCTGTCTCCGTGGTTACCTGAGGCCTCGGAGGCGGAGCCTGAGTGCACCGACTCCCCGTCGTCAGAGAAGCTTCCGGAGGAGCGAGAGTCTCCCGCCTCGCTGCGAGTGTCGTAGTCGTTTCCTTCTCCTCGACGCTCGTACTCTTCCTCCTCCTCGTCTTCCTCCTTCTCTCCTTCCTCCTCCTCTTCCTCCTCCTCTTCCTCCATGCCCTCTTCTTCCTCCTCCTCCTCCTCCTGATCCTCCTCTTCCTCCTCTTCAGCGTGGGAACCAGAGGGGGAGGAGCTTCCTGATCCCACCTCCGAACCAAACTCCGGTGCCGCCTCGCCCTCTGATCGGGCGTCCTGCGGGGGGGCGGGGCTTGCTCTTCTCAGCTTCTAAACACACAGGGAGGGATGTGATTGGCTGATAATTCAACTTTCAATACGTGCCGTGTGGATGCGATTGGCTGATACGTGCCGTGTGGATGCGATTGGCTGATACGTGCCGTGTGGATGCGATTGGCTGATACGTGCCGTGTGGATGCGATTGGCTGATACGTGCCGTGTGGATGCGATTGGCTGATACGTGCCGTGTGGTTGCGATTGGCTGATACGTGCCGTGTGGATGCGATTGGCTGATACGTGCCGTGTGGATGCGATTGGCTGATACGTGCCGTGTGGATGCGATTGGCTGATATGTGCCACGTGCCGCGTGGATGCGATTGGCTGATAAGTGCCGTGTGGATGCGATTGGCTGATACGTGCCGCGTGGATGAGATTGGCTGATACGTGCCGCGTGGATGAGATTGGCTGATACGTGCCGCGTGGATGCGATTGGCTGATACGTGCCGCGTGGATGCGATTGGCTGATACGTGCCGCGTGGATGCGATTGGCTGATACGTGCCGCGTGGATGCGATTGGCTGATACGTGCCGCGTGGATGCGATTGGCTGATACGTGCCGTGTGGATGCGATTGGCTGATACGTGCCGCGTGGATGCGATTGGCTGATACGTGCCGCGTGGATGCGATTGGCTGATACGTGCCGCGTGGATGCGATTGGCTGATACGTGCCGCGTGGATGCGATTGGCTGATACGTGCCGCGTGGATGCGATTGGCTGATATGTGCTGTGTGGATGTGATTGTTGTTTTGCACATTCGAAATAAATAAAATAAAATAAAATCTCACCTGGCTAAGCCCCTCCAGAATCCTCGGGGTTTCCCTCCTGCGGGGCTCCTCCCCCCGGCTCCTGATTGGCTCGCGGGCTCCTCGTCGACTCTTCTTCTCGTCATAGTACTCGTGGCGGTAGGAGGCGGGGGGGCGGGCTCTGGGGCTGGAGGCAGTCTTCTTATTGGAGGAGGGGGGCAGGCCTGAAGCCCTCTTATTGGAGGAGCGTGAGGGGGCGTGGCCTGCGGAGGGGCGGAGCCTCTTCAGGTCCCGGCTGTCGGAGCGGTCGCTCTTCCTCTTGGTTCCTGACAGACACAGAGTTTACATGTGTTGGTAAAATCCTGAATGTCCTCTTCCAACATGAGAGTAACATGATAACAAAGGTATCCCAATATCAGAGTAACATGATAACAAAGGTATCCCAACTGTAGCTGTGAACATGACAGGATGTATGATTACCTAGAAGAGCATCAGGACTGTTTGAGGCATATGATAGCTATGTGATTAACATGATGACTCAGCCTCTATGGAGAGAGACATCAAGCATGCTCATTTCTGACGTGGAGCTAATCTGAAGTAAACATTGAATACTGCTTTCTATTCCTCCATCTTGTGACTGTGTAACTCCCTCTCTTGGATATCAGCATGTGAAGGACACTGTTCAGGAACTAGTTGATGCTCTGTATGTGATGACTCCTTCCATTCTGGAGAGGATCACAACTACATGGATCCTGAGGTTGAAACTCAAGCCGGGGACCAGGGATTATTAACATTTTTAAGATTTCGAGAAAAAGTCTGAATTTTGATATTTTTGAGAAAAAATACCAACAAATGATCTTTTTCTGCTTTCACTACTTCCATTCTTGAGAGGATCAGAAATACATGGATCCTGAGATTGAAGCTCAAGCCGGAGACCAGGGAGAGTTTTCTAACAACATGTTAGTATTATTCACTGTTACATGAGATTACCTGAAGGATTAGTAAATCACACTACATGACATGTCACTTGTTAGACACTTTTATCCAAAGCGACTTACATACTTAATACTGAGGACAATCCCCACAGGAGCACTTTGGGGTGAAGTGTCTCAGGGACACAACGACATGCTGACTGCAGTGGGGTTTGAACCTGACCCCCTGATCCGAACACCAAGGCTCTAACCACTGCGCCACACGCCTCCCAGTAATACTGGTAGCATCAGTTAATCAGTTAGTGACACATCTTACATTATATCTGATATTTTGTACGTTACTATAGAGACCTTTCAGTCCTTGGGACATATTTACAACGTCTGTATTTAACTTATGCCTAAATCCTGCACCTTACCCAAAGATATTTATCCATATCTGAACATTACTACAGCACTGCTCTGATATGTTCATGTATTGAAGCTTCATGCTACTCTGTGCACTTTGTGGTTTGATGCAGACTGCATTTCGTTGTATTCTGTGAAATGAAATGCATGTATTTAATAGCACTAGAGTTGACTGAAGTGTTTCTGCAGACAAACCTTTCTTGTCGCTGACGGATCGCTCCGTCTCCGGGTTGTAAAGCTCGTCGTCCTGATCTGGAGCTTCAGTCAGAATATCTTCCAGAACATTTAACTCTCCATCTGAAACAACAACAACAACAACAACACAGTCAGCATCCAGAGGTAGGGTTGCAAACAACAACAACAACAACAACAACAACACAGTCAGCATCCAGAGGTAGGGTTGCAAACAACAACAACAACAACAACAACAACACAGTCAGCATCCAGAGGTAGGGTTGCAAACAACAACAACAACAACAACAACACAGTCAGCATCCAGAGGTAGGGTTGCACAATTCCGGGAATTTTCAAAGATGGAAACTTTCCATTAACGGGAATTAACGGGAATTTTCTAAATGTAAGGTTGGCTCTTCATAGGGAACTTAAATAGTTGGGGAAAGTATATTTTAGCATAATCTTGACTAAAACAAACAGATGATATTCAAGTACACTTGAATATCCATAGCACACTGCTTACTGCATGGCTATTGAGACCACACAAAGGGTCGCAACAGGCTCACTAATGTGAGAGTGGAACAACTGGTTGGCATTCGGGCAAACCTAAGGCTCTTTGAGCCGGACACAGAGCCATCCTCAACAAGGCTGGACAGTGACAGTGAAGAGGAAGAGTGTGATGTTGATGAGGCCCAGGAAGAGGAAGAGTGTGATGTTGATGAGGCCCAGGAAGAGGAAGAATGTGATGTTGATGAGGCCCAGGAAGAGCCCGTTGACTGAAAGGGTTTAGTAAACATGCAGAGGATTGCTTGAAGGAAGATTTGCATGTTTAATGGGACTGGAGGGAGAAGGCTCTTTTCATTTCACATTTTGAATGGGACTTTGTGGGGATCTTTGGATGGGGGGTGCACTTTTGTTCATTTTTTAATGAGGGTGGGATGAGTAATATTTAACTCAACATTCCTGTTTTCGTTCTTCAATGAAACAAATAATTGTTCAATAAAATAATTAAAACTTGTTCTGTTCTAAATTAAATTAAAAGAAATCTGTTGAAATGTCATGTTTTTTGTTTAATTTTGCATCGAATATTTCCAAAATTCCCCAGCTTAACTTCCCATGGAAACTTTCCGGAAATGTTCCGCCCCTTTGCAACCCTATCCAGAGGACACAACCATCCGTCTGAGCTCCAGGACAGCAGAGAGAGCAACAGAAGAACATGTTCACCAACCAGGATCCTTCTCTGTTATTGCATTTTAAATCATAAGAAATGTGTTCATATTGAGTTCAGGGCGCTTCCTGCTGTCAGGACGATGAAATGTGTTCATATTGAGTTCAGGGCGCTTCCTGCTGTCAGGACGATGAAATGCTGTTGTAGAAGAGCTGAGACTCGTCGCCTGGGAGAAGCTGCAGACTCAGTGAATTAAAGAAAAATCAGAATTCTGAGAATTTCAGAAAAAAAGTCAGAATTTTGTTGAAAATGAATACTGACATTTCAGAAATGAAAAATCAACATTTTGAGGTTGTCAGAAACATTTCTTAATTTTAGAAAAGTCAGAATTCTGAGATTTTTCAAAAACAGTCAGGACTTAAGGAAAAAAGGCCATTTTGAGAAAACTCTGAATCTGGTCTCCATTTTGAGAAAACTCTGAATCTGGTCTCCATTTTGAGAAAACTCTGAATCTGGTCTCCATTTTGAGAAAACTCTGAATCTGGTCTCCATTTTGAGAAAACTCTGAATCTGGTCTCCATTTTGAGAAAACTCTGAATCTGGTCTCCATTTTGAGATTTTTACGTTGTTGGAAAAATGTCTTCATTTTTGAAAAATTTCAGAATTTTGAGATTTTCTGAAAAAGTAAGCGTTGAAACAATAAAAAGACATTTTTGTGAAAAGTCAGAATTCTGATCAATCTTTTTTTGGTTGTCAGAAAAAAATTCTCTATTTGAGAAAAACGCAGAATTAAAAAAAGTTTAAATTTTTCAGGAAAAAAAACTTGATTTTAAAAGTTCTCTCTTGCTTCACTAACCCTCTCTCTCCATCTCTCTATTCACCTGGAACAGTCTGAGCTGCAGGGAAGCCTTTCATAATAACATGAATTCATGTTATTATGAATTCAGTCTGTTCATAAACAGCCTGGATGCTGTAGCTGCTGCTGGTTGTCAACTAACATGTTACCTCAGTGTTAGCATTGTGGGTTTTCTTTTGAAAAATAAATAAAAGTGATCAGTTAGATGAGTTTCTTCCCGTTACATGGATATAAAACATTCATAGTTTATTAAATGAACATGCCCTCAGACACTGTTTCCTGCAAGATGTTGCGGCAGTGCCCCGGTACCGGGGTCTCTCGGGCTTAACAGGTTAACTAGTCACATGATAACGAGTCACATGATAACGAGTCTCATGATAACGAGTCACACACATGTTAACTAGTCACATGATAACTAGTCACATGTTAACGAGTCTCATGATAACTAGTCACATGTTAACGAGTCTCATGATAACGAGTCTCATGATAACTAGTCACACACATGTTAACTAGTCACATGATAACTAGTCACATGTTAACGAGTCTCATGATAACTAGTCACATGATAACTAGTCACATGTTAACGAGTCTCATGATAACGAGTCTCATGATAACTAGTCACACACATGTTAACTAGTCACATGATAACTAGTCACATGTTAACTAGTCACATGATAACTAGTCACATGATAACTAGTCACATGTTAACGAGTCTCATGATAACTAGTCACATGATAACTAGTCACATGTTAACGAGTCTCATGATAACGAGTCTCATGATAACTAGTCACACACATGTTAACTAGTCACATGATAACTAGTCACATGTTAACTAGTCACATGATAACTAGTCACATGTTAACGAGTCTCATGATAACTAGTCACATGATAACTAGTCACATGTTAACGAGTCTCATGATAACGAGTCTCATGATAACTAGTCACACACATGTTAACTAGTCACATGATAACTAGTCACATGTTAACGAGTCTCATGATAACTAGTCACATGATAACTAGTCACATGTTAACGAGTCTCATGATAACGAGTCTCATGATAACTAGTCACACACATGTTAACTAGTCACATGATAACTAGTCACATGTTAACGAGTCTCATGATAACTAGTCACATGATAACTAGTCACATGTTAACGAGTCTCATGATAACGAGTCTCATGATAACTAGTCACACACATGTTAACTAGTCACATGATAACTAGTCACATGTTAACTAGTCACATGATAACTAGTCACACACACGTTAAGTCACATGATAACTAGTAACATGATAACTAGTAACTAGTCACATGTTAACTAGTGACATAACTAGTCACATGTTAATTAGTCACACACATGTTAAGTCACATGATAACTAGTCACATGATAACTAATAACCTGATGATTGATCCCAGCGAAACAAAGATAGCAGAGATGTGGTACTCTGTTTTATTTGTACGGGTTTATCTGTATTTCATATAAATATAGCTTTATCTTAACGTCCAATAGTTCCTCTGATGTGTGTGTGTTTGTGTAAACCTACAGTAACTCTGACTGGTTGAGAACAACAACAACAACAACAACAACAGATGATTGTGTTTGTTTATCTCTGACCTGTTGACAGCTCGAGACTTTAATGTTGACCTCTTCTATATACTCATGTGTGTTTGTTAGGAGCAGATCACAGCCTGCTGCTTCGGAGAGAAACTCCTCTGCATCCCAGCAGAACAAAGATAGCATCATGCTAACTCTGATGCTAACCTAATGCTACCAGGTCCGTCAGCCTCACCTTTGTCCTCGCGCCGCTCGGCTGCCATCACAGCCGCTGTCACGTGCTCCTGCCTCGCGCCCAGGTAACACTGCAGGTGAGCAGATTGTATTATGATTGAAACACGAAATAAAGAAATAAAGAGAAAAACAGCGAGAGAAGAAGAGAGAAAATGGCGGAGTGATCTGTTGTTGGAGCTTCTTCTTCTGCTGCTCCAGCGGCGGGGAGGAGTAGCGCCCCCAGCGGCCGGAGGGCGGAACTTATCTACCCAATGCTAACAGACCAGTCATTGCTAACAAACCGGTCATTGCTAACAAACCAGTCATTGCTAAAAAAAAAACAGTCTATGCTAACAAACCAGTCTATGCTATCAGACCAGTCATTGCTAACACATGTGTTACATGAGATAGTGACGGGGACAGAGAGGAAGAGAGTGGAGCCTGATGGGGACACTGGGGACAGGGGGTGAGGGGGGAGAGCTACCAGGAAGAGAGTGGAGCCTGATGGGGACACTGGGGACAGCTACCAGGAAGAGAGAGGAGCCTGATGGGGACACTGGGGACAGGAGGTGAGGGGGGAGAGCTACCAGGAAGAGAGAGGAGCCTGATGGGGACACTGGGGACAGGAGGTGAGGGGGGAGAGCTACCAGGAAGAGAGAGGAGCCTGATGGGGGACACTGGGGACAGGGGGTGAGGGGGGAGAGCTACCAGAAGAGAGAGGAGCCTGATGGGGACACTGGGGACAGGAGGGTGAGGGGGGGAGAGCTACCAGGAAGAGAGAGGAGCCTGATGGGGACAGGGGGTGAGGGGGGAGAGCTACCAGGAAGAGAGAGGAGCCTGATGGGGACACTGGGGACAGGGGGTGAGGGGGAGAGCTACCAGGAGAGAGAGGAGCCTGATGGGGGACACTGGGGACAGGAGGTGAGGGGGGAGAGCTACCAGGAAGAGAGAGGAGCCTGATGGGGACACTGGGGACAGGGGGTGAGGGGGGAGAGCTACCAGGAAGAGAGAGGAGCCTGATGGGGACACTGGGGACAGGAGGTGAGGGGGGAGAGCTACCAGGAAGAGAGAGGAGCCTGATGGGGACAGGGGGTGAGGGGGGGAGAGCTACCAGGAAGAGAGAGGAGCCTGATGGGGACACTGGGGACAGGAGGTGAGGGGGGAGAGCTACCAGGAAGAGAGAGGAGCCTGATGGGGACACTGGGGACAGGAGGTGAGGGGGGAGAGCTACCAGGAAGGCCCTTTTTAAGTATTTGAGTGAAACAGGGCTGATAAAATAATTTAAAATAACTTAAACATCGTAGTATACACAGTGATACAGTAGGGGGCGGTATGCTCCTTACAGCTGTTTGCAATCCGCCAATAACCGAGAGAAGAAGAACATTAGCCAGAAGCGTTACAGCCCTGTTTTTAAATACAGACCCCGACATTAAGCTGTTAGCTGTTTAGCTGCTACCTGTTAGCTGTTTAGCTGCTACCTGTTAGCTGCAGCCGGTAGGGATCAGTCAACAGCTAATCATCAGTCTCTACAGCCTCTCTAATCTTCACCCGAGCTCCTGCGTCAGTGTGGTTCTCTCCGCTAGGGGGCAGTATGTTCCTGTGCTATGTTCACAGACTGTAGAAGCTCTAACTCTGTTTTGAAAATCCCTAACAGGAAGTGCTTCGTGTGACTGTGAGCCGTCAGACCGGAAGTCTACGTCAGTCAGACGCGTTTAAAGCTCCGACTGTAGTTTTAGTTGAGCTGTGGAAGTTTGAACTAGAGTTTGAATACTTTTTAAAGCAGTTTGTATCTAAAGCTGTTGTTCAGATGGCGGACGAGGCCACGCGCAGGGCGGCGTCGCAGGTGCCGCTCCTGAAGACGCACGCCGGGCCGCGGGACCGCGCACTGTGGCCCGCGCGCCTGAAGGAGGAATACCAGGCGCTGATTGGCTCCGTGGAGGCGAACAAGAAATCAGACAGCGACTGGTACCGCCTCGAGAGCAACGCGGACGGCACGCGCTGGAGCGGCAGCTGCTGGTTCATCCACGAGCTGCTCCGGTACGACTTCCGCCTGGAGTTCGAGATCCCGGTCACTTACCCGGTCACCGCACCGGAAGTAGCTATCCCGGAGCTGGACGGCAAGACCGCGAAGATGTTCCGCGGCGGGAAGATCTGCCTCACGGAGCACTTCGCGCCGCTTTGGGCTCGCAACGCGCCGCGCTTCGGGCTCGCGCACCTGATGACGCTGGGCCTCGCGCCTTGGCTCGCGGTGGAAATACCGGACCTGATCAGCAAAGGGCTTGTGGTGCACAGGGAGCGGCAGGGTGACGCGGCAGAGTGACGAGGGAGCGGCAGCGGCAGGGTGACGTGGCAACGGCAGGATGACGTCACAGACTAATAAACACCTGGAACTGAACCCAGTGAAAGAACTGATGAGACTTTATTTTAATTATAAAATATAATTGAACATGTTGTGACGGTGATGAAGATGAACTGAGAGGTCTCTGAAATAAAAAGTGATGAAAAATGAAATTAGGTGTTTATTTTATTATAAAAGAGTGATTTGTGTAAGAAATGAAACACCTGAAAGGTAGATCTGAGGTTCTGTAGAAACTACACTCAGTGATGAAAAGATTTTATTTAGTTACAAAAAATAATTGATCACAAACGGTTTGTAAAACAAACAGATGAAAACACGAACAGTGAGAGGTCTCTGAAATGAACTCAGGTGGTTTTATAAAAACTATTTCACTTTTTGATGTTGGAACCAACAATAGTTCAGACGATGAAATGATGAGATCTTGCTTAATTATAGAGTGGATCGTCAGTGGATGAGAAACAGAGAGGACGGCCATTCAAACCTAATATCTGCACACACGTTTCACCTCATCCTCTTTATTGTGATAGCATTTAAAACACGCAGACATTAAAACATTACGCTTTTCAAAATGATGACTTTAACAAATGACTGGAACTTAGTTAACATGATAAACATGCTGTCAGTTCTCAGTGAGTTATCATTATTTATTAATATGATGATGAAGATGTGACAGCCAGCGGGCGTCGGCAGAAAGATTTCAGAATAAAAAAAACTACAAATGTTTTCTTCATTTGTAGTTTTAATAAACTTGGATAAGCTCCGCCCACTCCGCGACAGGCCACGCCCCGTTCTCCTGCATGTCTTTATTAATATGATGATGATGATGATGGAACAACCAGTGTGTTCGTCTGCAGAACGTTTTCAGAATAAAAAAACTACAGTTGTCTTTATTTGTAGTTTTAATAAACTTGGATAAGCTCCGCCCACTCGGCTACAGGCCACGCCCCGTTCTCCTGCACGTTGCTTGGAGACGTCTTCCAGTCCCAGCTCCGCAGCGGGACGCTCCACATCGGGCCGTAGTTAGCGCTCAGATAGTCGAGCGTTTCACAGGGAACGCGCACCTTCAGATCCAGAAGCTCCGCCCAACAGAGAGAGAAGCCCGGGAACACGTACCTGAGGGGAGAGGAGGGAAGAGTTATTAGAAACAAGACGCCCGGGAATACGTACCTGAGAGGAGAGGAGGGAAGAGTTATTAGAAACAAGACGCCCGGGAATACGTACCTGAGAGGAGAGGAGGGAAGAGTTATTAGAAACAAGACGCCCGGGAACACGTACCTGAGAGGAGAGGAGGGAAGGGTTATTAGAAACAAGACGCTCAGGAACACGTACCTGAGGGGAGAGGAGGGAAGAGTTATTAGAAACAAGACGCCCGGGAACACGTACCTGAGGGGAGAGGAGGGAAGGGTTATTAGAAACAAGACGCTCAGGAACACGTACCTGAGGGGAGAGGAGGGAAGAGTTATTAGAAACAAGACGCCCGGGAACACGTACCTGAGAGGAGAGGAGGGAAGAGTTATTAGAAACAAGACGCTCGGGAACACGTACCTGAGAGGAGAGGAGGGAAGAGTTATTAGAAACAAGACGCTCGGGAACACGTACCTGAGGGGAGAGGAGGGAAGAGTTATTAGAAACAAGACGCTCAGGAACACGTACCTGAGGGGAGAGGAGGGAAGGGTTATTAGAAACAAGACGCTCAGGAATACGTACCTGAGAGGAGAGGAGGGAAGAGTTATTAGAAACAAGACGCTCGGGAACACGTACCTGAGGGGAGAGGAGGGAAGAGTTATTAGAAACAAGACGCTCAGGAACACGTACCTGAGGGGAGAGGAGGGAAGAGTTATTAGAAACAAGACGCTCAGGAACACGTACCTGAGAGGAGAGGAGGGAAGAGTTATTAGAAACAAGACGCCCGGGAACACGTACCTGAGGGGAGAGGAGGGAAGAGTTATTAGAAACAAGACGCTCAGGAACACGTACCTGAGGGGAGAGGAGGGAAGGAAACGAGCAAAGATATCCCTTTTTAAAAACACATTCTTTTCTCCGTTGATCACTTGAGGACGTTCTTTGTCTCTTCAGTTTGCCCACACTTTTTCAGCTTGGGAGCTACTTTTAATATGACCAAGTCCACATGATCTACCTACAGGGTCACCCCTGTAGGTAGATCATGTGGACTTGGTCACCCCTGCCCAATCTGGGGGGGTGCTAGTGGACTACGTGGAAACCTCGCAGCGGCGGATAAACTGTGGCGCGCTTACACTAATTGTACCGCATTAGCGCATAATAGCTTCAGATGAGGAGGTGAGGCCCCCTCACCACTGCATGATCCCGTATGGCACAATACAACTCAGTACATTGTTGGTAATTGTTCGACCCTTTCTTTAGTAGAATTGTATAAATTGGCTAACTAGGTAATCAGCTCGTCGGTGATTTGCAGCTGCGTGGTGAACTGCGTGTTAGAAAAGATGAGATCTCAGACTGACCTGTACGTCAATCAAGTGGCAAATGCCATAGTAAGGATGGGTGATAGGCTAACTTAAAAATAAATGAATACATTTAAAAAATGTAAATGCCATGCGATCTCCCCACACTACCTTTGCGATCGCCCTGGTATAGGTCATACACACGGAGCCGTTTGACCCCCAGAGCTTCCTGGTTGCAGATCGATCACCTTGGGACCCGTTATCGTTTGCGGGGTCCGTTTCTATCGTTTTGTTACGGCCTCGTGTTAACGAAAGGGCTATACACAAGATAAACTATGCGGATACAACCCGTTTTGTCCTCGTGTAAACGGGGTCTCAGTGTATTTTCATTTATCAAAGCTCCCATATTATGCTAAATCCACTTCTTCATGTTACAACATGTGTCCCCTCTGTGTAAAGAGACTCTCTCTTCACACTTTGGAAACAGGGCTGAAACAGAGGGGATTCTGGGTAATGCTGCCATGATCTGTTTGGTGTTTCAGCCAATCAGAGACAGGCTCTGGATATATCTGAGACCTGTGATATATTGATGAAGAAGAGGATGATAGGGGACCTAATAATAACTCATAATTATACTTACTTGAACTTCCTGCCGCTCCTCGCCTGCGTTCCTCCGTTCCACACGATGTCTCCGTCCTCGTAGAAAAAGAAAACGTCCAGTTTGACGTCTTCACTCAGAAAGGAGAGCTCCAGACTGTCCTCCACCTGCCCTTCAAAATAAAACACATGCCTTAACGAGGTAAACACACACCTGCGTCAGAACAGCTGGAGAGGTGAAATAAAAACGTGAGAACCATAAAAGAAAAGTTCCCACCTTCCCGAACTTGTGTTTGAGCGACAGCCCGGCGGTCCTGAACGCTGCGATGATATCCGGCCTGAAGTCTGCGATAAAGATCCCGATATCCACGTCCCGACTGTACGAGATCACGCTGCACTGCCTGAACCAGCCTGCAGGGGGCACACGTCAACAAGTACATCAACAACGGTTTACAATCAACAAGAGTTTAATATGTCGTTACGCTGTTATTGGTCTAAGTGCTGTCACCTTAGCATGTTAGCATGTTGTTATGCTGTAACGTTAGTATGTTGTTATGCTATAACGTTAGCATGTTAGCATGTTAGCATGTTATATGTTGTTATGCTGTAACGTTAATATGTTGTTATGCTGTAACGTTAGTATGTTAGCATGTTGTTATGCTGTAACGTTAGCATGTTATATGTTGTTATGCTGTAACGTTAGTATGTTGTTATGCTATAACGTTAGCATGTTATATGTTGTTATGCTGTAACGTTAGTATGTTAGCATGTTATATGTTGTTATGCTGTAACGTTAGCATGTTATATGTTGTTATGCTGTAACGTTAGCATGTTGTATGTTGTTATGCTGTAACGTTAGCATGTTGTATGTTGTTATGCTGTAACGTTAGCATGTTATATGTTGTTATGCTGTAACGTTAGCATGTTATATGTTGTTATGCAACCCAGTCTCACGGCATTTCGTGTTATTAGTCACGAAATTAATTTAATCTATTGATTCGTGTTCACCAACACGATTTTCACCTTTTTTTCGTGTCACACAGAACGATTTTAAATGCAATGTATTTCTATTGGTAGTATGTTTCGTGCCTGCAACACGTCTTTTTGTCCGGTCGGGTCTTGGAAGACCAGAAGCTGTGTGGTTCATAAAAACATGTTCTTACTCAATATCTTACCCTAAGCCTAACCCTATCCCTTTTATTTTAAATTGTATAATGTCTGAGTTTTGTTGCCGTCCGTGAGGAAAAGAAATGTCTCAGAGCCTCAGAATACTGACATCTGTATTTTATGTCATCTTTTTTTCCTTCTAATTTGTTATTATTTGGTGCAGGCACGAAACATACTACCAATAGAAATACATTGCTTCTAAAATCGTTCTGTGTCAGAATACTGAAATCTGTATTTTTTTAAATGTCTTTTTCCTTCTAATTTGTTATTATTTACATTGCTTTTAAAATCGTTGTGTGACACGAAAAAAATGGCGAAATCGTGTTGTTGAACACGAATCAATAGATTAATTTCGTGACTATAACACGAAATGCCGTGAGACTGTGTTGTGTTATGCTGTAACGTTAGCATGTTATATGTTTGTTATGCTGTAACGTTAGCATGTTATATGTTGTTATGCTGTAACGTTAGTATGTTGTTATGTTGTTATGCTGTAACGTTAGCATGTTAGCATGTTATATGTTGTTATGCTGTAACGTTAGTATGTTAGCATGTTATATGTTGTTATGCTGTAACGTTAGCATGTTATATGTTGTTATGCTGTAACGTTAGCATGTTATATGTTGTTATGCTGTAACGTTAGCATGTTATATGTTGTTATGCTGTAACGTTAGTATGTTGTTATGTTGTTATGCTGTAACGTTAGCATGTTAGCATGTTATATGTTGTTATGCTGTAACGTTAGTATGTTAGCATGTTATATGTTGTTATGCTGTAACGTTAGCATGTTATATGTTGTTATGCTGTAACGTTAGCATGTTATATGTTGTTATGCTGTAACGTTAGCATGTTATATGTTGTTATGCTGTAACGTTAGCATGTTATATGTTGTTATGCTGTAACGTTAGCATGTTATATGTTGTTATGCTGTAACGTTAGCATGTTAGCATGTTATATGTTGTTATGCTGTAACGTTAGTATGTTAGCATGTTATATGTTGTTATGCTGTAACGTTAGCATGTTAGCATGTTATATGTTGTTATGCTGTAACGTTAGCATGTTGTTATGTTGTTATGCTGTAACGTTAGCATGTTATATGTTGTTATGCTGTAACGTTAGCATGTTATATGTTGTTATGCTGTAACGTTAGCATGTTAGCATGTTATATGTTGTTATGCTGTAACGTTAGCATGTTATATGTTGTTATGCTGTAACGTTAGCATGTTGTTATGCTGTAACGTTAGCATGTTATATGTTGTTATGCTGTAACGTTAGCATGTGTATAGTGTTGTTATGCTGTAACGTTAGCATGTTAGCATGTTATATTGTTGTTATGCTGTAACGTTAGCAATTATGATTTGTTATGCTGTAACGTTAGCATGTTGTTATGCTGTAACGTTAGCATGTTATATGTTGTTATGCTGTAACGTTAGCATGTTAGCATGTTATATGTTGTTATGCTGTAACGTTAGTATGTTAGCATGTTATATGTTGTTATGCTGTAACGTTAGCATGTTAGCATGTTATATGTTGTTATGCTGTAACGTTAGTATGTTAGCATGTTATATGTTGTTATGCTGTAACGTTAGCATGTTATATGTTGTTATGCTGTAACGTTAGCATGTTGTTATGTTGTTATGCTGTAACGTTAGCATGTTGTTATGTTGTTATGCTGTAACGTTAGCATGTTATATGTTGTTATGCTGTAACGTTAGCATGTTAGCATGTTATATGTTGTTATGCTGTAACGTTAGTATGTTAGCATGTTATATGTTGTTATGCTGTAACGTTAGCATGTTATATGTTGTTATGCTGTAACGTTAGCATGTTATATGTTGTTATGCTGTAACGTTAGCATGTTATATGTTGTTATGCTGTAACGTTAGCATGTTATATGTTGTTATGCTGTAACGTTAATATGTTGTTATGCTGTAACGTTAGCATGTTAGCATGTTATATGTTGTTATGCTGTAATGTAGCATGTTAGCATGTTATATGTTGTTATGCTGTAACATTAGCATGTTATATGTTGTTATGCTGTAACGTTAATATGTTGTTATGCTGTAACGTTAGTATGTTAGCACGTTATATGTTGTTATGCTGTAACGTTAGTATGTTAGCACGTTATATGTTGTTATGCTGTAACGTTAGCATGTTATATGTTGTTATGCTGTAACGTTAGCATGTTATATGTTGTTATGCTGTAACGTTAATATGTTGTTATGCTGTAACGTTAGCATGTTAGCATGTTATATGTTGTTATGCTGTAATGTAGCATGTTAGCATGTTATATGTTGTTATGCTGTAACATTAGCATGTTAGCATGTTATATGTTGTTATGCTGTAATGTAGCATGTTAGCATGTTATATGTTGTTATGCTGTAACGTTAGCATGTTAGCATGTTATATGTTGTTATGCTGTAACATTAGCATGTTAGCATGTTATATGTTGTTATGCTGTAACATTAGCATGTTAGCATGTTATATGTTGTTATGCTGTAACGTTAGCATGTTAGCATGTTATATGTTGTTATGCTGTAACATTAGCATGTTAGCATGTTGTTATGCTGTAACGTTAGCATGTTAGCATGTTATATGTTGTTATGCTGTAATGTAGCATGTTAGCATGTTATATGTTGTTATGCTGTAACATTAGCATGTTAGCATGTTGTTATGCTGTAACGTTAATATGTTGTTATGCTGTAACGTTAATATGTTGTTATGCTGTAATGTAGCATGTTAGCATGTTACCCAGGCAGGTGCCGCTGCTCAGCCAGAAGGGGATGTTGAGGGGAGCTAACGTCCGCGCCGCCAGATGAAGCAGCGACTTCACTTTCCTCCGAAACTCCACGGCCTCCGGAGAGGAGTCGTCGGGATAGAGCTGCAGAACATCTCTTTAATTAGCTTCCAGTCACATGACACTTTTCCCTTTTTCTCCCCTTCACAATAAAAGCACGTCTACCTGCAGGAAGTTCCGAGCGTCTCGGTGTCGGCACTCCAGGAAGCGAGCGTGTTTTTGTTCGGAGAGAAAACGGGAAACGTTTCGAGGAATTCGAACATCGAGGCCGTCGAGGACCGTGAGGACGAGCTCCGGCCTGAAGGGGCACAACACAAACAACCATTCATAAACAACAACAACAACAGCTCACTGTGACAGTATTAACCACAAACATTCATTAATAAACAACAACAGTAATAAAGAGGTGCTACCTGTCGTAGGCTCCGGCGTGTCGTCCGTAGTCGAGCAGTTTGAACGGAGCGAAGCGTCGATCCATTTCAGGTTTCAGACGGAGCGCTCCGTGCCAGAGATAGTTCCCGCTGCGCTCGTACAGGAACACCACCTGCAGGAACACAGGTATATCTAACACCACCTGTATATCTAACACCACCTGTATATCTAACACCACCTGCAGGAACACAGGTATATCTAACACCACCTGTTGTTGGGTCAGGTGACCCCTCCCACCTGTATGTCTAACACCACCTGTTGTTGGGTCAGGTGACCCCTCCCACCTGTATGTCTAACACCACCTGTTGTTGGGTCAGGTGACCCCTCCCACCTGTATGTCTAACACCACCTGTTGTTGGGTCAGGTGACCCCTCCCACACGTATTTCTAACACCACCTGTTGTTGGGTCAGGTGACCCCTCCCACACGTATTTCTAACACCACCTGTTGTTGGGTCAGGTGACCCCTCCCACCTGTATGTCTAACACCACCTGTTGTTGGGTCAGGTGACCCCTCCCACCTGTATGATGTGGCCGTGGAGGCGGAGCAGGAAGTGGAGCGGGATCTGGTTTCCTGATAGGGTGTCCAGACTGGCCAATCGGGGGTCGTCTCCTCGCAGCTCCATCACCTCGAAGCCTTTCTGCTCGGCAGCCAATAGGAAGCCGGCCTGAGAGCGAGTGATAAACGATCAGAGGATCAAATAAAACTCTGGACCGTCATTGGTTAATTCCAGAGATGGTAAAAGTACACACATCCTTTACTCAAGTAGAAGTACACACATCCTTTACTCAAGTAGAAGTACACACATCCTTTACTCAAGTAGAAGTACACACATCCTTTACTCAAGTAGAAGTACTCACATCCTTTACTCAAGTAGAAGTACACATCCTTTACTCAGGTAGAAGTACACACATCCTTTACTCAGGTAGAAGTACAGATACTCGTGTTTAAAAATACTCTGGTAAAAGTAGAAGTACTGACTAAACTTCTTTACTCAAGTCAAAGTAAAGAGGCTTTGAAATGTACTTCAGTAAAAAGTACCCATAACTAGCAGCTGTTTTAAAGAGTACCTGACCTCCCTTTATATTAATAGAACAATAATGTCATTGTTAGCTAATGAATGTTTCCATGCTGAACAACGGCAACATGACAACGTTTTCATTGGTCCCTCTTCTTTAGAGAAGACCAGGAAATGATGGATACACGGATCGTGTTCAAATCAATAGGCACGCAATGACTCTAAATAATAATGATCACGCCACCAAAACACACATTCAAACTAAAGGAACCAGCCTGTTTGGGAAATGTGAGAAGTAGAAAGTACAGGTATTTGAGTTCAACATGTAAGAAGTAGAAAGTACAGGTATTTGGGTTCAACATGTAAGAAGTAGAAAGTACAGGTATTTGGGTTCAACATGTAAGAAGTAGAAAGTACAGGTATTTGGGTTCAACATGTAAGAAGTAGAAAGTACAGGTATTTGGGTTCAACATGTAAGAAGTAGAAAGTACAGGTATTTGTGTTCAACATGTAAGAAGTAGAAAGTACAGGTATTTGGGTTCAACATGTAAGAAGTAGAAAGTACAGGTATTTGTGTTCAACATGTGAGAAGTAGAAAGTACAGGTATTTGTGTTCAACATGTGAGAAGTAGAAAGTACAGGTATTTGGGTTCAACATGTAAGAAGTAGAAAGTACAGGTATTTGGGTTCAACATGTAAGAAGTAGAAAGTACAGGTATTTGGATTCAACATGTAAGAAGTAGAAAGTACAGGTATTTGGGTTCAACATGTAAGAAGTAGAAAGTACAGGTATTTGTGTTCAACATGTAAGAAGTAGAAAGTACAGGTATTTGTGTTCAACATGTAAGAAGTAGAAAGTACAGGTATTTGTGTTCAACATGTAAGAAGTAGAAAGTACAGGTATTTGTGTTCAAAATGTAAGAAGTAGAAAGTACAGGTATTTGTGTTCAACATGTAAGAAGTAGAAAGTACAGGTATTTGTGTTCAACATGTAAGAAGTAGAAAGTACAGGTATTTGTGTTCAACATGTAAGAAGTAGAAAGTACAGGTATTTGTGTTCAACATGTAAGAAGTCAAAGTAAAAAGTGGTCAGAAAAATAACTAGTGTAAAGTACTGATACCAGAAACATGTACTTAAGTACAGTAACAGAGTAT